AGAAGGTGACTGTTTGGTATTATATATGCTAGCTGGATGGTTATGTGCATATGAAAATTGAGACTGGGAATATTGGAAGTAATATTATATTATTATATACTAGTATTTTCACCCGTGCATTTTATATTGATGATCAGTATTATATTGGTGTATTTTAGAGAGATTGTTCCAATTAAGTTAGTTGGCTAGTTGATTTAGTAACTACAAGGTTTCAATTAAGTTGGACTCTAGATGTGACGGTATATTGGCCTTTTTGGTTTAAGCTAGTCGATTACATATAATTTAAGCCGTTTTACTTCTAATCTCGACATCTTTTGAGTAGTGATTGTGAGGTTTCCTTATTATCTAAAAACACACTTAGACTGATTTATCTCATTGTGATCATTGTCAGTTAAGGTCACAAGGCGAACTTCACTCAAATTTTATGACAAATCCAAATCTATCATACCTATAAGCATTGGTGCTTTTTGTACCATAAATAATAATAATATAGACTTTTTGTATATCTTGCACCAGTACCTTTCCACACCATACACTTTTTCATAAATAATTATTATTTTATTTTTTGTGTCTGGTAAAACTTATATCCGTGGATTTTTGTCGTAATATTATTAGAAAATTGTGACTTGTGAGGGCTGCATCTAGCCGGTATACGTGGCCTTGTACTGTTCGCTGCTTCCAACGTTTAGATAAGGTTATGTACGTACGTTAATTTGTTTCTACAATTATTATATTATTTTTTTAATCAGAATAAGTAAATATATACCCCAATAAAAACTAGAAAATTATTAATTTATGAATTTTTGTTCTTTTTTTATGTAAACCGTGATCCGCCAAGTACCTTGTGTTCAGATGGCATCCGGGTTGGACTCCCATATGGGAGGTTGTGTATTCAAGTCTTAGCTTTATGCTTCAGTAGGTTGAGAAAACAAATACTACAATGTAATAAAAAAGTTCAGTGGAGGCGTTATTGACAAAAAAAAAAAAGTTCACCCGATTCGCTCCGAGAGACACAAAAACTGCTGGCCCAGAAAGAATCGAACCTGGGTAGAATATTAATTTATGAATTTTTGTGAACAACATAATTTGTAGAATATTTCACAACGAAATTAATAATTTATATTTTCTACAATTACAAGTAAATAAATAAATAAATTAGCATTGTCACCCAATTATCCACACGCTTCTTACTTGTGGCGAAATTTCTTAATTTTTTCTAATTTTCTCTTAAGACCACCTCCAAGGGGTGCGTAACAAAAAAATGGTGTTTTGCTGCTCCAAGGGGCGCACCATTACACCATAAATTTGGTGTAGCATGAACGGTGCATTGCCATATTTGGCTCTGCACTTGTTCATTATCTCCCACCATTTTAATTTTTTGGTGTGGTATTTTTTTTTTCACATTTTTCCCTTTACTTTTATTTGTAATTCCTTTTATGTCTTTATTTTAGTTTTCAAGTGTGATTTGTGGACTATTACACAAAAGTGAAGTTTACATGATGTACACTCTCGACTCTCGACTCTCGAATAGTACGCTATTTTTCTCGTTACCCAATAATATCACTAAAATGCCTTTACTTATGGTCAACTAGTGCAATTTTCCTAGTTCCACCACCCCCCCCCCCCCCCCCACCTCCCTCCCAAAAAAAAAAAAACATTATATCACTAACATGAATTAACTTATGGCCGACTAGTTACGTTCATGAGGTATGCCTTAACTTTGAAAAAAAAAATCATTGGTATATTTAATTTTTCTAGTGATTAGGTAAATAAAAAAAAAAAGTTTAGTTTAAATAAAATTTGCTTAATATATCTATAAAAATAAAGAAAAGTTTACAATGTTGATTACCACCGGTATATATATTTTTTGTCTAGGTACAACTTTAAAACCTTCCCTACTTTGGGGTTATATATTAGATACAAGAGACATCCAAATAGTTTGTAGCTTAATGACACTTTTATGGCTCTCTCAAATGAGAGGTTATAAAGATTCGAACTCCAGTGCGAGTAGGGGCGGACCTGGCAGTATCAATAGTACCAAAAATAAAAAATAAAAATACAAGTCTCGAATGACCAATACAAATAAAATATTATAAAAATTAATTGAACAGACAAAAGATGTCACACAAAATACAATTTAACATGAGCAATAATAACATAAATAAATAAATGCTTTAAAAAAAATCCATTCCATTCATGCATGCACGGAGTCACAGGAATCTGGAGGGGGGGAAATTGAGATCCGGCAGGAGATAGTCTCCCGCTTCCGCTTCTTCCGGCGAGGTGTTCAAGTCCGGCACGGTGAAGCCTCTTCGCCCTCTCCCTCCCGGAGCCGGAGCTTGCACAGTGGTTCCGCCGGCGGCGGCTTCAATTTCTTCTTCCTGTTGATCCATTGGCTTCACGAGCAGATGCTTGTACTCCGCGAATTCCGTTACGTAGTCGAAGGTCGGTGGAGGGTACGCGCCCTTCCATCCTCGACTCTTATGGTTCTTCATGTGCCCAAACATGCTCTTAACGCTCGGAAACCCCTCCCCGCAGACCAAGCAACTCATCAGACCGGCGCCGGCGGCCGCCGGTGCCCGAAGAACTCTTTGGCTGCCGCCGCCGGCGGAACTTCTAGGACTTTGCTGCGCGTTCTCGATTGAGCTCTTCCCCCCGGACGATAATGAACTTTCTCTTGAACTGGAACTCATCTTCAATTCGAGAATGGTGATCGAGATTAGGGTTTCAGTCCGGGCGGGAAGAAAGTGACGACCGTTGAGATTTCCACTGAATTGAATCTTGGGAAAAAGACTAATATGCCCTTCTAGCTTCAAGCCCTCTCAAGTTTCAACCTATTGCAAAAGGAAAAGGCTAGATACCAATGTGTTTTGAAGTATTTTTCTATAATTACTAGTACTACATCACAAAATATATTTACCATTTTAATTTAACAATATAATACTGGTAAATTAGGTAATAATATAAATAAAGAAATAAATAAACAATAGTTTCCAAATTTTGACCTTTCGATCGAGTTGGCGTCATTGGTGGTGGATGGAAGCGTTGTTGATTGGTGGAGAATAGAGGTGTCGTGTCACTGCTATGTGTTTTAACTAGTGACAATTGGTGATGAAGTGTTGGATGACAATAGCTTTTATAACCTTTCTTATTCGTTATGATGAATGCGTTACTTGTGATAGATTAGATTTTGAGTAGTGAAAGTTTACAACTGTATAATGAGTTATCATGATGAGTTTGAGCGCGGAGGCAACGATAATGGTGATTGCATGTATTTCTGTGACTTTTTGTGTAACTTATGAGAGGTGTGATAGATTAGGTTTTGAGTAGTGAAAATTTACAACTGTGTAATGAGTTGTCATGATGAATTAGAGCGCAGAGGCAATGATAATGGTGATTGCATGTATTTCTGTGACCTTTTGTGTAACTTATGAGAGATGTGATAGATTAGATTTTGAGTAGTGAAATTTTACAATTGTGTAATGAGTTGTCATGATGAGTTAGAGCGCGGAGGCAATGATAATGGTGATTGTATTTTTGTGACCTTTTGTGTAACTTATGAGAGATATGATAGATTAGGTTTTAAGTTGTGACATTCTATGTTTATGCATGTGATGAAGTGTCATGAATTAAAGCGTGGAGGCAATGGGGGTGGGTTTTGTGACCTTTCACGGTACTTATAATAGTTATTACTTTCAATTAAAATCAATATTAAACAATGTCATTTTGGGTTTAAAATATTTTTCAGAATGAGATTATTCAAAGATCACTATTATTTGCAAAAAAAAAAAAAAGGAATTCATTAATACTTTAATGACGTGGCAAGTTGCAATTCAGCATTAATTAGCACATGCAATGCATGCATAGCACTTATATGTCAATAGTCAAGAGCATTATATTCTCTTGATTTGAATTAGTGAAGGGAAACTCCAAGGAACTCGTCAGTTGGTTTTATAACCACAAGGTTTTCTTTGCAGACTAAGGTTACAATGTGAATTTCACTCAGAACACACATTTGAATAAAAGATTGTGTTATTTGATTGAACAACACATTTAAGAAATTATATTTAATAGAAAAAGGGTTCAAATAATTAACCACCCAACTATACAAGTGACATCTCCGGAATACTCTGTTCAATGTTCACATTGATACTATGCATCATAGTTACATTCATACAAATTCATTTTTATTATATTAAAAATTCATTGTAGTGTATTACAACTTTACAAGTTTATTTTTTGAAGATTCATTTCTAATGTAGTGCTAAAGCTTCAAAAGCATCGGAAATGCAATTTGGGAATTTCAAACTACAACTTCTTTCGGAGGGATTTGAAATATACATAAAATGTATGCAACAGGGCAGAAGAACTTGGATATGGTACATCATCATACAAGAAACCTTGGAGAACCAAACGTTTATTACCAACACTTAAGCTGGCGAATCTTAACATTGTATGTACAAGGAACTCCAGAATTTGTTCTTTTTTCTGTTTGTTTGGTCTATGTAAATAGAGAATGGGGACAGGCCAAAGAGTTTTAAAAATCACTCTAATCCAATTATTTCCAAACAAAGATTTGATGCAGGTTTGTCCAAGTTGGCCGGTTTCCATCTTGTCCCCAACAGAAGCTATATAGTAACATCGAATAGAATTCTACTGACCGGGGTTTCCTAGAAGACGTTCCACGGCAGCATGGACATTCCCAGCAGTGGCTACCAGTGCCCTTATGTTTTCTTGTGTATCAAAGAAACCCATTTCCTGAAGCTGTGTAAGCTGAGTGGCGTATAGTTCCTCAGGTGGCACTGCAGTGGGGACAATGATGAGAGAGTAGAAATCATAAAATGAAGCAAGAAGATGATATAGAGGGAAAAAGAAATTACTAACCATTGGGTTGGTTGGGAACTCCAAAACCCCCGGTTCCAAGTCCACCAAACATATTCATCAGCATTTCTAATCCTATATTGTCAAGCGACCCTGCAATTAATCACCAGAAAGGAATAAGAGACAAACAATAAACTATGAAAGCTGACAAGATAACTCCTCTAGACACCTGAGTGCATTATCTCCAAACATTTTATTATGATGTCCACTGCTTTGTTTATCAAACAAAATGTTTTCTTCTCTACAATTCCTTAATCTACTCAAAGGGGAGGTGAGGAGCTGCAAGATTTATAAGTTAATTTCTTACATTTATCAGTTAATTTCTTACAAAAAACAACTCTCAACATTTTCCAAAAACAACTCTCAACATTTTCCAAAACCTCCCAGTCAGGTGTCAATTAAATCCCCATTTAGTCAAACACAACTAGATTTTAAGAATGGTTGTTCAAAACTCAAAAGTCATGACTCAGAATCATAGCAAATTACACCTTCAGCGCATATCGTATTCCCATTGGATTTTTGAGTTTACATATTCATGTGGAGTATATGAGAATTTAATTATTTATGTCAATCTATCTTCTCTATTATAACCTCAATCTAGCTTCTAGCAAAGTAAAACACATTTCTGGATAACCACGAAAGAAAAAGATATGTCAAGTTATCAAACATTCATTTGTTATACATACTAGGAGCTTCAGTCAACTAAGTAAACAACTAGTCAATTACTAAATATAGTTATAACACATTCATAAAATCTCAATGTTATATATGGAATAGGTTATAGGTCATAAGAATTCTCCAATAGATAAACTTAGCGAAACCAAAAAAAAACCGTTGGCTGTCGGGCAAATTAGAAGTATACTTTACAAGAGTATTTGAAGTTATCCTAGAAATACTTAAGGAAAATATTATGTGCTCCTTTCATATTAAGGGAAGGAAAATAAAATAAAATTTTAACTTTCAAGTACACAAATATACCTGCTGCTCCACCATTTTGACCTAGTTCTCTGCAGCAGACAAACTCTTAGTCAGCCAAGATAGAAAATAAACATCTCTTACATGAAAATATATAAAAGTCACTCCTCAAAACTATCCCAACTCAGGTTCAAAAGATATCATATTTCTTTGTTACTTAATTATAAGTTTCTTTTGCCTTTGGATATGCATAAAAAGATTGGACTTATCAAGCATTTTACATCTAGTGTAAAAGAGGTTATAACCTAAAGCTTAACATGTAAGCATATTTTGCACAAAATCAACAGAATCTCTAGCCATGAAGCAGAGATTTGAGATAATCTCAGTTAATGTTATGCAGGATAGGTAATAGAGCTTCAAAGTGCCATCGCCAAGCAACCAACTCAAAAAGATAGGTTCAACTTACCGATTAGTCTGCTGTCTACCAAGTTGTGAACTGAGTGATTGCTGAAAATTCATGAGTTGCTGAAAGGTACACAGGAAGTGAATTAGGGAAAAAATGAGAAACAAAGACAAGAAGAGAATACAAAACCAGTAACACACTTTAAAAAATAAAAATAAAAAACAAAAAAAAAACTATGAGCATAAGTTCTAATACAAAGATTGTCTATCAAACCCATAAATTTGTCCTTTATATTATGCCCTTAACTTATACATGGAATCTTTGTATGTTTATGTTGCAAAAGCGGTGCGCAAATGCCAGTGAATTTTGTAGCATGAATATAAATATTGGATACCAAGGACTATGCAAATTTAACCCAGATGATATGGTGCTCCAATCGACCAAGCCAGCCAAATCCCTAACACATAGACCATATTATATCACACATATGGAGATCTACCCGCATTGTCTCAGGGGAAGTCAACTGACGAAGCAAATCAGGGTTTTGCATCATCTCTCGAAGTTGAGGATTGGAATCAAGCATGCTGCGTAATTGCGGGTTAAGGCCAAGAATCTGAAAAAAGGAAATAGAAAAAGAAACTTGAGTGAAAAGGTTCCAACCACCAAAAGAGAAAATATGGGAGAAAGGGACAACACAAAAAAGGGCAGAACATGAAAAAATAAGTTAAACCTGGTTCATGTACTGAGGATTGGAGAGAACAGATTGCATCATCTGTGAGATGGCTGGATTCTGCATTAACTGATTTACTGTGTTGGCATCAGGCATGCCACTGAGCAGATCAGGTAAGCCACGTCCACCTAAGCGACCTTGCGGTGCTGCCCTAGCATCCCCAGCAGGGTTAGACCTAGCAGTGGTATTTGTTTGTGTGCCTCCAGCTGAAAGATCCAAATAAAGAAAGAAGTTAGGAACCAAGCAATCTAATATGAATGAAAACATTGTTTGGGTTGACATGAAAATCTTTAGCACATATATACTATCAAAGTATCAATAATGAATAGTTTCAGAACTAACAAAGAAAAGAAAGATATAGACAATGTTTCAACATCAAAAAAATTTCTAGTACAGAGAAGGCCTGTCTTCAAAGTGGAGTCGATGTATATCTCTTTCCCATGAGAAACTAACCATCAAATGCATGTGTTTTAAATCAAGACTTAAAGTTTCAGAACTAACAAAGAAAAGAAAGATACATAAAATATTTCAATAGTACCAAACTTTTTACTAGATTGACAAGGCCTGACATTAAGTTTCAGTGGGTATATTTCTTTTATTTTCCACAAGAAACTAGCCATCAAGTTATGCATCTTCAATCTAGAGTTTAAGATCTCAATTGCAAACTTGATATATTTGATTTCATAAGAAAACTACCCACAATGGGGAAAGACTGATTATTAGTATAAATGGATTGAGCAGGTTTATAGTGCTTGACTTCGTGTCAACCATGCAGCTTTCTATGCATAAAAGTCATGCATCTCAACTATTAATTTATAACATTTCCATGCAAAAAAAGTCATGTATCCCATGTTTTAATTTCAAATGTTAGAATCCAAGCCTCTGGAAGCAAAGGGAGAAAAAAAACACAATCCTAATTACAGGAGAATCCCAAATAGCAAACCGGGATTGAAGCACTGAGAGTAGATATCTTGAAAAACAAGCTAAAATAGAAATGCTAAAAGTAGATAGCTTACTCCCAGCAGATGCCCAAGGATTAGGAAGTGGATTAGTATTAGGAGCAGGAGATGTGGGAGTTGTTTCAGAACCAGTAGTTGGAGGATTATTCAGTTGATCCCGGCCTTGACCCACTCCTTGGCTTCCAAGAAGTGCAGCAAAAGGGTTTGACCCCATATCACTTCTCATATCTCCAGACATGGTGGTTGCATTCAGGAGTGGCTCTTGGACTGTTTCATACATGCGCCTCAGCATGTTAAATCCCTCTGGTGAAGATTCAATATTACTCATAGCCCTGTCAGTATTGCGCATCAGCTCACGCATGAGTTCAGGGTTTCTTGCAGCCTCCATTGTCTGGCGAAGAGTAGCAGGATCATTTAGTACGTGCGCAAGCTCTGGATTGCGATCCATAATATCTCGCATCTGAGGATTGTTTAAGATTGAGTTGCGGATAATTTCTGGGTTATTCATTAGATTCTGAAAAAGAGGCATGTTCAATATATCTCTCATCATATCAGGATTCTGACTCATGTGCTGCTGAAACCGATCAAAATCTGGAAGTCCATCTCCAAATAACCCTGCACCACTTCCAGGTCTGTTCAAATTAAGCCCAGGAAACAATGAAGCTCCAAGACCTGATCCATCAAATGTTCCACCTACATTCACATCTGGGCCAGTATCCCTCAGTGCATTTTGGTTAGGACTTGGAGCACCAGGATTACCTGCACCTGCAGTATTTGTAGAGGCAGCTGAAGCAAAGCCACGAACCAAATGAATAGTGTGACTGGCCGCCAAACCTATCAACCATACAAAAAATAACATGGATTAATTGGTTTGCTAAGTAATATATAGGATTACTTTATTCCAGCAACTGATGAAGATATTGTACCACATTCTTCCAGTTAATCATGCATTGTCACATCAATGTACTCACCCGCACACAACTAACACAAGAGAATATAAAAGAAACAAGAAGAAATTTAACCATTGAAATGAAATTTGACAATAAGGTAATACACTAACACCAAAAAAAAAAAAAAAAAAAAAAAACGATTAACGGAGTGCATAAACCTCTCTATCGGATATGCGACGAAGAAAAAAGTCTGCCGGCATTTAAATTGAAAAATTAATCAGGTTTTCCAGTATTTTTCCCCTCGGAGTATAAGCATTCCGTACATGAAAATGAACAAATAGACGATAATTGACTTGCCATAGCTTTCTAAGGTTTGGTCGTCCTTCAGGATCCGGCCTTTGTAGATCAACCGCTGCTGCTCGGCGGGGATGTCGCACTGCTGAGCTACTAAGGACTTGAAGGCTCCGATGGTGATGCCGAGATACGCCTCCACCGAGAACTTAGAGCCGTTGGAGGACCGGATAAACACGGCCACTTGATTCCCGCTACAACCGCCTGCCTCGGCGTTGTTTTCGCTGTCCGAATCACCCCCATCGCGGTTTCCTGCAACGCTAGCATCGCCGCCGCCCATCGTCAAACCCCTCCCCTTGACAATCCGGGAGGCTTTTCAACGATTCCAATCCGAATTTGCGAAAATCGAGAGAGAATACTGCGAAATTCAGCTGCTGATCAGTGGAGTGAAACACACTCGATGCCCTAGCCTTCGGAAGACGAGTTGCAGAAATACGGTGCGTTGGAATTTGGAAATACACACAAGAGTACTCCAGTAATTACACCGTACACCACCTCAATATATCATATTTACGGATTTGCCACAACAAACACTTTTTTCTTTTTCTTTTTTTACCTACGACATGACATTGTGGTCTAATGGTAGGGGTGTTAGCGAACAGAGCTTTGGCAAACTACTCGTGTTCGTGTTTGTTTATTAAGGTAAACAAATATTAAGAAATAAAATTTAGAGCTCGATTTATAAACGAACAAAGACTGTACAGTTCTAAGCTCGTTTGCTAAGAGATCGTGAACAAGCCCGTTTGTGTTCGTTTAATAATATTCACGAACAAGCTCGTTTAGTGTTCGTTTAATACTGTTTGTGAGCAAGCTCATTTAATATTTGTTTGTATTCTCTTTGTAGTTGTGTTACTTGTTTGGTTATTTTTTGTGAACATATATTATTTATTGTTCACGAACGAATTCTAATCATGAATATGTCTATATGTTTGGTTATTAGGAATTTACGAACGTGAACGAACATGTTCAAGAACGTTAGCGAACGCTTAACAAACGAAAACGAACAGGATTTTAAAAAACCATAACAAACGAACACGAACACAAATACTGCAAAAACCTTAACAAACGAACACGAACAACCTCCATTCGTTTATGTTCAGTTCGTTAACAGCCCTATCTAATGGCATGAAGTGACTCTCTCAAATGAGAGGTCATGTATTTAAGGATAAAGTGTGATTAAAAGTGTGATTTCTTCATTTAAAAAAAAAATAAATTTTATCATATACCAACATTTTTTGGGATAAATGCATTTTTTTTCTTCAATTATTTCTGAAATTGAATCCCTCATTTTTTTACTTTTATTTTTGAATGAGAATCCTTCAGATTTTAGGTAAACAAATATGGTTTTTCAATTTTTGTCAACTTTTTGTCAATTTGGTCCTCTTTTTTCAAAAGTGACGAATAAAACTTACAATTCTGTGAATGGTGTGTACTGAGTAAATCTCGCATTGTGACTCTAACTAGCAAATAATCACTATGAGGTAGATCATTCTAGGTTATTAATATCTGACCAATTCAAATCAATAAGGGTCAAAGATTGCTCCCGCTACGAGTCGAAATTGTAACAGCGTAGTTACCAATTTGATTATGTTTTCCTCATGGTCCTTCCAACTAACGAAAATGATCAGTAATTGATGGACCAAACTAACAACTTAGGATTAAAAAAAAAAAAAGGAATCATACTTGTTCACTTAAAAGCTAAGGGACTACATTTTGAAATGACAAATAATTAAATGGGCAAAATGTGTATTTTTTCCTTTGGGTTAAAGAACTATAGACGTTATAAATAGAAAATGAGAAACTTTTATATATATATATATATATATATATATATATATATATATATATATATATATATATAATGTTATCTAGATTGTTGGACTATAACATATAAATAGTTTAATTTTCAATTTCATCATTACTATATTAAATGTGTATCAATTGTCAACTTTATCACGATGATCATCGTCACTTTCATATTTATCTTAAATTTATATCTATTTTTTTTCACTATCACCTATTTATTTTATTTTCACGGTCATAATTATCTTTAATATTTATCATAACTCACAACATATTTATCTGTTTTTCTATTCACATGTACTAATACTATACCGATTATCTATTTATATGTATTTATCATTACCGGCATACATATCCAATCATCACTTGCTAATGTGTTATTGCAACTTATAATATACATATTAATATTTATATAGAGAGAGAAATAATCAAATCTCAAATAAATTTGAATGGAGTATTTTATAAATGAGAAAAATTATTACCAAGCACTTTGTGCTCATTACCATATTACCACACACTCATATTCAAATTTATGTTGCAAAAGTACGAATAAATACCCTGGGTGGACTTCAATTTGGAAGGTTGTGAGTTCGAGGCTCAGTGGAGGTGTTATTGGTTCTTTGTGTTTCAGTAGGTTGAGAAAGTATGAACAGCTACTACATTGTAATAGAGCCAGTAGCATTCAAAAAAAAAAAAAAACCCAAGGTGATAACTCTGATGGTAAATGAGTTATCTTTGTGGGGGGGATTTTGGGATAATCCGGGTTTGATTCCCACAATTGACTATAACATGTTATTTGTATGAAAAATCATAAAACTCAGCATTAATCGATATGTAACCGGATTTAAATTGATATTAATAAAATTGTAATATTTTAATTTATTTTGGTCTATAATGTTTTAATAATTGGTATTTTTATATTTGGTATTAAAATACATATTACTTATTAATCTATGGAAGATATTAGCATTAATAATTTTGTTTTTGTAATGCTTGTTAATTTATTTGTTTGAATAAATCAAGTCACATATATTTTATTACAAAAATTTAAACTGTTAATTGTTTTTTTGTGAAAGGATTTAAACTGTTAATTGTTAAGAACGTTCAAAATTATAATAAATTGAAAATTCGAAATGTAGTCTTCATTATTAGTTTTCTTGTACAAATTCTAAATAGAAATAAATTGTCTACATATCTTATTTTATAATGGTAATTTTAAAACAATTGTATTTAATTATATTTTGTAACTAAATAGCATGAAGAGTGTGTAGTATGTGACAGTGGATAGCATTTGTTATGCAATAGACTGAGTGTTCAAATTTTTAGTGTGAACAAATATGAATTATTTATGAAGTTGGTCCCATTTTTTTCTTTATTTTTCAACTGTTAAACATATTAATTGTATAAAGTTTATAATATTTATAAAATTGATTTTTATCAATTTGTTTTAATTGTCAACTAATAAATGATAAATATATTAGAGTGATAATTAGCATTTGTAAATATTTCTTATACGGAAATTGTTCTCATGTGAGTTAAATTTTATTTTAGACAAGTTAATTTGATATGTTGGTGGTATAAATAATTAATTTTAAATATCTATAATATAAAATAATAATGAGTTAACATATAAATACTCTAATACTATATATGTTTTATTTTACATGTCATGTTTATTATTCAATACTCATTAGGTAAACAAACACTTTTTTTTGTATTTATTTTATTTGGTATTTTTGTGTGTTTAATAATATTTTAATATAGTTTTCAAATATATAAATTTTGTATACTAGTTCCAAATGCAATATTATGAAAAATTAAATTTAAATTGTAAATTGAGTTATAAAATGTGAAGTCATGGGTTACTTTTTGTGTTTTAGTAGATTGAGAAAGTAGTTATGAACAGATAGTATATTGTAACATAGTCAATAGTACTCAAAAACAAAATTATAAATAACTCTAGTCAAACATTGTTAACTAAATCATAAGTAATAGGCCAAGCACCTTGTCCTCAAATAACATGTAGTTACATCTGGGAGGTCATGAACTTAGTGGAGACGTTAATAGGTTGAGAGTCAGAAGCAATAGAGTTAATTTTTAAAATGATCATTTTAAGTCAAAATGATCATCCATTAACTGTGACTTTAAATTATGTTAAAATGAAGGGTAAAATTTAAAATTTAGGTTTCAAACATCATTAACTAAACCATTAGCAATATATAACTCTAGTTAAGCATGTTAACCTAAACAGCGGACGCGCGCCTTCTTGATCCCGCTCTGCAATGCCCGCCTATTCTTCAATCCACTGCTTGACAGCATGCTCGTAGCTTCACTAATTTGATGGCCGCGATATCTCAGCCCGCCAGAAGAACCTTATTGCTCCCCCGCCTCAAAGCCCTCGTCACTCTTCAGGTTCGAAGCTCTTGCCGATAGTTCTACCTGCTATTTTGTTGTCTTCAGTGGAACAATTCGTCGAACAGTTGGTAACTGCCCTGCTTATGTCACTGTTGCAGAAGTTTAATCAAACATCAGCTGGAGATGGAATCCAGCTTGAGTCCACTACAGATAGGGCTGCTGACTCCAACTTTCAGCCGGGTAAGTGTAAAGCTCATTTATAAAATGCTTCATTTTGTTGTGCGACAAATGTTTGGGTGGTTAGTGCTGGTAGCCCCTTTATAGTTTGAATCTTCGTTTACCGTAGGGAAAATTGAATTTTCGAACTGGAGGAAGCTGGACGCAAGGCACTTTGGGATAACTGGATCGAGGATATCACCATCTTCTTGGGTTGTATTGAATGTTCTCAAAAAGAAAGGTCACACACTTGGTTCAATCTGCATTTTTTAGCTCATATTTGAGATCTTAAATTTCAATACACTTTTACAAATTCACAAAGAGTGCTGACTCTTTTTTTTTTCCCTCCTACATTTGACTATGGCACCATCTGGTTTGTTAATTTATAACATGTTCTAATCTCTGTATTCCATACAATTGAGTCAAGAGGATACACATATTTATACTAGGCTATGCACACTAACTATGGTAAGGATCAATAATATCCCTAAGATATTATACACACTATCCCTAAGATATTATACTGAGATCATATCAAATATTCTTCTACCATATAATGTCTAACACTCCCCCTCAAGTTGGAGCATAGATATTGATAATGCCCAACTTGTTACATAAGTAATCTATTCGAGGCCCATTCATAGCTTTTGTAAAAAGATCTCCTAGATGTTCTCCTGTCTTCACAAATCCAGTAGAAATTAAGCCTCGTTGTATCTTTTCACGAATGAAATGACAATCAACTTCAATGTGCTTGGTTCGCTCATGGAAAACAGGATTGGCTGCAATATGGAGAGCCGCTTGATTGTCACACCATAGCTTCGCAGGAATAGAGGCCTTGAGCCCTATTTCATCGAGAATGTGATATATCCACAAGATTTCACAGGTTGCCTGTGCCATTGCTCTATACTCTGACTCTGCACTCGATCGTGAGACAACATTTTGCTTCTTGCTCTTCCACGAGATCAAGTTTCCACCAAAGAAGACACAAAATCCGGTTGTAGACCTCCGATTCTCCTTAGACCCTGCATAGTCTGCATCTGCAAAGCACTCAATGTTCATATGTCCATGGTTTTGATATACAATTCCACGTCCTGGAGCACCTTTCAAGTAGTTCAGGATTTGTTCAACAGCTTTCCAATGATCAATAGTTGGAGATGCCATAAATTGACTTACAATACTTACTGAGTAAGCAATATCAGGACGAGTTACAGTCAGATAATTTAGCTTACCAACCAATCTTCTATATCTTTCTGGATCATCAAATAGCTCCCCCTCTGATGTCAACTGTGAATTAGGGATCATTGGAGTATTGCATGGCTTAGCTCCTAGTTTCCCTGTTTCTGTCAATAGATCAAGTATATATTTTCTCTGGGAGAGAAGTATACCTTTCTTACTCCGTATTACCTCAACACCTAGAAAATATTTTAATGTACCAAGATCTTTAGTCTGAAATTGACTATGAAGAAAGGTCTTAAGAGATAAAATACCAGCGGTGTCACTTCCAGTGATGACAATGTCATCCACATAGACAACTAATAAAATAATGCCTTTCTCAGAGCGTTTATAGAAGACAGAATGATCGGACTTTCCTTTTATCATGCCAAACCTCTCAATCGCTTGACTGAATTTCCCAAACCATGCACGAGGGCTTTGCTTAAGGCCATACAAAGATTTGCGAAGTCGACAAACCTTACCATACTCCCCTTGAGCAACAAACCCAGGTGGTTGCTCCATGTAGACTTCTTCTTGAAGCTCACCATGTAGAAAAGCATTTTTAATGTCCAGTTGATGTAAAGGCCAATTAAATGTAGCAGCCATAGAAATAAGCAATCTGACAGAGGTCAATTTTGCAACAGGAGAAAATGTGTCAGAGTAATCAATATATCTGATTTTGCAAGAGGAAAAAAAAATAAATTCTGTGTTTTTTTTTCTTTATGTGGCTCTGGTACCATGTTCTAATCTCTGTATTCCATACAATTGAGTCAAGAGGATACACATATTTATACTAGGCTATGCACACTAACTATGGTAAGGATCAATAATATCCCTAAGATATTATACACACTATCCCTAAGATATTATACTGAGATCATATCAAATATTCTTCTACCATATAATGTCTAACATAACAAAATAATCTTCTATTAATGGCTCTGTTCAAAATTATCATCTCTATTAATATAAATGATGAGGGAAATATGCGGAAATGTGAGCTGGCTGATTAATCATCAAATCACTATAGCACACCCCAACCCTGATTCTCATACATGAGTTGTTTAATTATCATGCCTCAGTTATTGTGTTTTATCATAATCTCAAGAGTTGGCCCACCATGAACTAATATACAAAATACTTCAACACAAAAGTGCAATAAGCTTTGCTAGTGTATATTCTAAGAAAATTGTGGATAGTATGATACTTTAAAACTGTCCTAAAGTCTGTATTGCTATTAGGCAGCATAAGATCAGATGGATAGTTGGCACTGGAATGCTTTTGGACAGTGTGAGACTATTAATTTTCTAGCATTAGCCATTCCACATTTTGCTTGCTTTGCTATCTGTTATTCTTCTAGTCATACTTGTTCCTTTTGTGCTCTTAATCAACCTTAAGTAAAATTTCTGATATTCAGGGTTCAAAGCCTACTTAGTTGGTGGATGTGTAAGGGATTTAATACTTAACAGAATACCAAAAGATTTTGATGTGATTACAACAGCACGGCTTAATGAGGTTCTCAATTCTGTTTACAACATAAATCCCCTTTTATTGATTATTAATAATCCTGGGATGCTGTACTGCTGTTTGTGCACATCTTGGTATAGTTCAATATGTTATGTTATGCTAATATTTCATTGCAGATAAAGAAGCAGTTTTATCGTGCTGAAATTGTTGGCCGGCGATTTCCTATATGCAGGGTGCATATAAGAGGTTCCGTAGTTGAGGTTGGTGGGACATGTACTTATTAGTCTGGATCTTTGAGCAACTGTTTTTTTGGGTCTTGCTTGATTCACCAGACATTTTACAGTCTTTCACATAATAGTCAAAGTTTGCTAATACTTTGGCATATATTCTACCTGCAGGTATCCAGTTTTGACACTGTGGCAAATAAAGGTGATGAAACTAAAAGAAAGAATTCTTTTGTTCCTAGAATGCCAAAGGGATGTAATGAGAGTGATGTCATTCGCTGGAGGAATTCCTTGCACAGAGACTTCACTATAAACAGGTATTACCCTTTTTACTTTTTATTTGTGTGCAAGGTTGGAACTAAAAGCTGTCTTCAGTTTAAGTTAAGTATGAGGTTGAAGCCAAGCATTAACTAAGGGGATGGTTTGGCTGAGAACTGACAATTTGGTTTGGTTGCCAAGTTTTGGTTATCTCTAATTCTCTATTTGTGAACACATTGAATGGTTTGGCCAGTCAATTGGCAGTTTGAACATTACAAGAGAAATCATTGGCCTAGCATCTGGTTTACTACTCTACGATATATTTCACTTGCCAAGCCACACAACTCAGGATCTACTTGCCTGCAAAGTATAGTAAATGCAAAGTGTTATTCTTTTGGTAATGTGGTTGTTAGGAATTTTAATTGAAACATGTATTTGAAATTTTTTGAAAAACCAAGGACCAGATGGTGGCCAGAAGGATCAATTGGTAATTTTTTCATAGTTGTACTAATAGTGGAAGAAAGACACTTGAGGACTAAAAGCGGAAATATCACAATAGTCAAGGCACTAAAATGGAATAAGTTCCTTTGACTAAATAATCATTGCAATACAAACTACAGTAGGCTCTCTTGATACTTCAGGAAGTATATATTCAACACTTTCACAGTAGTCAAGGGACTAAATTGGAATAAGTTCCTTTGACTAAATAATCCTTGCAATACAAACTATGGTAGGCTCTCTTGATACTTCAGGAAGTATATACTATTCAACACTTTCACAATAGTCAAGGGACTAAATTGGAATAAGTTCCTTTGACTAAACAATCCTTGCAATACAAACTATGGCAGGCTCTCTTGATACTTCAGGAAGTATATATTCAACACTTTCATTAGCTTATAAGTTGTGTCCTTAAATTGCAACAAATTTTCAGATGTCCTCATTGCAGATTTCATATATAATATATATGAAAGTATTTATAATCTTCTCATTCCAAGGTGGCCTACAATGAAAGGCTCAATCAATTGACATGAATATTTATGGATGATCCGAAGTCATGTATGAGCATTGGTCACTAAGATGGGTCACCTACACTTAAAGAAAATGAACAAACTAGCAGCACACTGAATGATATTTTTATTTGTTAATGGTATTTTTTGGAATATCTTAGATTTCCTGCTTTTTATCTAATGTTCGTTAGCTCATTGAATGTATTTATGAATTGGTGGAAACAGCTTGTTTTATGATCCCTTTGTCTATCAAATCTATGATTATGCAAATGCTATGGCAGATATAAAGTCCCAGAAGGTAAAACTGTTACTTTTAGTCTGTGCTATGTGTTTATTTATTTCAATTGGAAACTCACTAACTTTTTGCATAACATTTCTTCAGCTACGAACATTAATACCTGCTCAGCTGTCATTTGAAGAGGATTGTGGTTAGTTTATCTTTCATTTACCTGGGAAAAAATCTCCTAAACACCAGACTTAGTGTCTCAGTTTCTCTATTTATTTGTTGAATCTACTAGAATAATTTTCTACATGTCTCATTCAGCAAGAATATTGCGGGGCTTGAGACTTGCAGCTCGTCTTAAATTTTCGTTTTCAATGGAAACTGAGACTGCTATATGGAAACTGTCACCGTCCGTCATGAGTCTAGACAAGGTGCAGTAACTCATAACATTTCATTTGTTCTATGCGCAATGGGAAAAAGGAAGGGAACAAAATAAATAATGCAAAATTACCAACTTTTGTGGTGTTTCTAGAAAATTTACTAACTTTCCCCCCTTTTATGTGAAATGCCATTATTTCTTTTGGCAGTCCAGATTAATGATGGAAGTCAATTACATGCTTTCCTATGGGGCTGCTGTGCCCTCTCTTTGCTTGCTTCAGAAGTATAACTTACTTGAGGTTCTGCTACCGTTTCATGTGAGTTCCTATTACCCATTCCATTTTTGATTTGCCAAAACCATCTCTTGCATTTTGTTCTAGACTGTATCTGTATGTTCAAAATGTGTCCATCATTTGCAGGCAGCATACCTTACTCAACAGGCCGACAAACAATCCAGTGATACTTCTATGCTGATGGTATGCCTTTTTCTGATCTGCATCCGTTTCCTATGAAATCATAGATTGTTTCGACATTTTCCTTTGAAAATTTTAACGAGTCATTTTACCAAATATATATGATACGTCGATATCTATATGCATTCTTTTCCTATTATAGATGATTGCTTCCACATTCTCACAACCAAAATTTTCATTTCCTTTTAGATATGTTGTTATTTTCTGTCTTTTCAAGCGTATAATGTAGTTGTTGTAATCTTTTGCAGAAACTATTTTCCAGTTTAGATCAATTGGTATCTTGTGAGAGACCTGCTCGTGAGAGCTTGTGGTGAGTTTCTTTCTTCAAGAAAAGCAGGTAGAATTGGCATTATGAAGTTTTGTTGATTTCTATTCTTCTAGTTCTGTGTGTTTCATGAATTTGTTACCATCATTGAGAGGATGGGTCTATCAGGCAACATTTTTGTCCATTATGGGAGATTAAAATGAAAACAATGTAAAGTAATGCTTATGCCATTTTCTTTCTAAGCATACTTTTAAACTGTCTTCTTTTTGAAGAAAATAAAGTTTTTTTTAACAGATAAAATTTATATATATCCTCATGCATCATTTACACAGTATCCACCCACCTCCACCCCATCTCATTCTACTTACCTAGGGGTGTGCACAATTAGGTGAAAAATCGGTTAACCGACTGAATCGGCAAATTTCTGTTAACCGGTTTTTAACCGAAATAATTTGGTTCCAATAAAATAGCCCCGGAGGCCATGGCCCCATATATATATGTGTGTGTGTGTGTGTGTGATGAACACCCCTAAACTTATCTGAACCCCATGCCCACATTTCCTTACCCTCCCCACATCCACCTCTTCTTGATCCCACTCCCACTCTTACAGTCACATCTCTTGGTCTAATTCATATCTACCTCTTATTGGAGCACCTCTCATTGGCTCCAAGCCTCCAACCACTCCCAGCTCCCCCCTCTTGATCTTAGCCCCACTTCTTTCTATATTTGATTATTTGATAATTATCTAATTTTAAATTTTGAGTTTCATTTTCATGTTCCATAAACTCATAAAGTACAAAATTACGGAGTATATTTCTACTTGTCAAAACAGAATATTTTAATTTTTTATTTATCTCCTAGCAATACCAAACTAGCCTGATATGAATGTAAAAGAGGGTTTGCCTAGAATGTTGGTGTTAAGTGTTGAAATAGAAGAACAGGGTATGTATTGATTGTATTCATTGTATTGCTGTACAAGAAGAAGCCCTATTTATACATAGGCTAATAGACTACCAGCCACAGAATTCAAAAATCAAATAAAAGGCATAGAGACTAACTCTAACAGCCCCCTTATTCATCTAATAGTTGGACATCAGTATACAACATTTAGAATTACAGTATGATTCCAATCTGTCTGAAACTTAGGCATCAAGATTTTTACTGAGTAATTATTTATAGCTTTACTGTTGGCACAGCAGCATCCTTTATCTGCCTGCAGTAAAGTTTATGCAGTTCATTTATTTTATGGCCATTGCGCTTTTCTATTAAAGTAGCAGTTTGTTAAGTGTTGTGTATTTGAAGTTTCTCTATTTTTTTCTGAGGTTGTTGGCTTAGCATTTTGTATTGGACAGGGTTGCACTTCTGGCATTTCATCTAACATTAGTCAATAACCCCCAGCCCAAGCTCGTGGTCTTGACTTTAGCCTCTGTGATGTATCATAGAAATTGGAAACAAGGTGTTGAGTTTGCAAGACAACATGTTAAAGCAGCAAGTTTATATGTACCTGAAATTTCAGATTCTGATGGCTCCATGTCAGAAGATGAACTTGCTAAAAGAGTTGAGAATATGGCAGTACAAGTGAATATGTTGACTGATGCAGACAACCTCCGGGAAGTGACATCCAAGTTCTCAGGTTCTTCACACTCTGGTTTGGTAAGTTTACATTCTGTGATTTTAGCATCCAGCATGTTGATTCTCCAGTTTAACATGGTGATTAGAAAAAGCACCAAATCATGCTGTCTGTATTTTTATAAACAATAAACTATGGCGCGTCCCTATTGCACTTTTAGAGTATGAAGCGGCCTCTATGGAAGGCATGCAATAATTATGAGGTTAATTTTAAGCTGCTTCTATACCACAAGTATAGAAGCATATGAGCTTTGCACAGATAAATTTTTGACCTGTCCTTGGCAGGATGGCCTAGTCAGAAGACCATGAAAGTAGAATAGTTAACAGTTTTAGTTTGTATTACACTATAATATGCAGGTGCCTGCAATGCCTGTTACACTAGGGTCAGATTTATCTAGAAAAAAAAAAGACTTGTTTTGTGTGTGTGAGAGAGTAGCAGTGTAATCAAGTGAATTGAGCCTGAGTTTGCAAGCTTGAATCTTGGCATGACTTCGACCCAAATCTATTTTTAGAGCCCGGGCTCTACTTACTCAAGCTTTGAGTTGCTTGAGCTTCAGCTTGAAATTTGAATAGGCTTTGTTTGAAGATCCGTTTAACTAGTTTCTATTAGGAACTTTTGTCAAATAAATAAAATTAAGCTAAAATTGTAATTATATATATATATATATATATATATATATATATATATATATATATATATATATATTCATTTGAAAAGAATGGAAATTGAAGATTTCTTGTAAAGTAAGTCTTAAGTCTGGATTACAAGACCCTTTGTGATAAATATATCATATTTATTTATATATTATATAAAAAAATATTTTAAAATATACAAGCTTGATTAAACTTGTGAGTTGCTTAAGTTGAGTATTAATGCACTCAAATTCGACTTGACTCGTCATTTGGGGCTTTTGACTTTTTGAGCTATTTGAACTGAAGCTTGAAATTGACCGTAACTTAAATTCATGAGTCAAGGTTTAAAAGTAGCTTCTCTTGTTTACGGTATTGTGTGTGTGTGTGTGAGAGAGAGAGAGTATGGGGAAACCAAAAAAAAAGAGGTTAGGGAGTGATTCATCATATAGTAGGTGGGTTTTTATTTGTGTGTGTTTTTTTTCCTGTACACACTGTTTGCTTAGAAGCCATAGGCATACAGTATTGCAATGGTGATTGCTGTGTCATCGTAGTTCTTTTTTTTTTTTTTTTTTGGAATGAAGGGAATGAGGATTGAATCTGAGACCTATTAGGTTTTAACATCCTTGGCATCACTATAGTTGTTAAATGAGTAGATTTTTTTTATTTTTCCTTGATGTGATGAAGATATTTGGTTTTCCAGGTCTTTGTATCCAATAAAATGGTAAAGAAGATTGTTGTTGAGGAGGTTTTTGGTATCTTGACAAATGATGTTACATCTCTGAATGAAAAAAGTTGTAGCTTAAAGATACAGAATCCATCACCTCAAAAAGGAACCGCCCACAAAAAAGGAAATGGAATCGCCCATGAGACAAGGTTTCTCCTAAGCAAAATAATCTTGGATACTTTGGGTTTAGGGGGGGTCATCTTGGAAGAAGGTGAGAGCAAAAAGAGGAACAGTGAGTACGATGAAATTGATGGCCTGCAGGAGGTGAAGGAAAATTCCCATTCACAAATGGAGATGAAGCAAGAAGACTATAACCTGTGTAACATCTCACCGATGGGAGGTGAATTCGAACCAGCTAGAGCAAAGAAGCGGAAGTCTACTCACACTAGCAGCAGTCTTTCAGAGGAAGGAGCAGTGACTAAGCATAAGAAATCTGCAGATGAGCAGACTGCTTTCGACCATTCAAAGTGTTTGCAAAAGGTGCACGAAAGTGCTACTAAGCATAAGAAATCTGTAGATGAGTCTGAATTTACACAGCGAGAAAGCAGTGAGGAATTGGTAAAAAGAAAGCTGAATTCGCACCCCAAAAGTTTGGGAGCCGATGATATGGTTGAACATAAGAAGAGCAAGAAGACCCTCTTCGATCTTTTCAAGTGAGTTTAACTTTAGTTATGATAAGCTCATTTTTGCCTCATAGGTCATTTGCAATTATTTGCAGTGTAGGCACATTTCAATGTTGGTTTTTGACATATTTGAAGAATGAGGATTGAACTTGAAATTTCTTTTTAGTTGCAGAAGATTGTACTTTTTGGTTTTTAGTTAACATAATAGTATTTATGCCCTCCCTATTTTGTTGGTCCTCTGGGAGGCCTGGGAGTAGGTGTCCACATTCAATCCGGTGTGTGTGCATTAGTCCCTTGTGATACCAAATTTGCATATTCAGTCCTCCAATTTCTCAAGCTACTCTAAATTTATCCTTAAAACTATTAAAGTTAAAAGATAATGGAGCCTCTCTTACATTTCGTTATAAGCAAACCTGTGAACGTTTGATAACTGAGAAGCTATATTCAAAATTGATATGAGAATATTTCTTTTCTTTCTCTCATTGTTATCTTTAATGGAAGTGAATTCTTTTTATTAATTTAACCAAGAAATAATAAGCTAAATGGATAAAATGAGACAGTAAAATTTTAGCATTCAAATGTCTTAAGGTTAATTTTTTTACTTTAAATCTTAAAGTTGTTAGTGTACCGTCTCGAGTCCAAAGTCCAGTTTCTTCGTTGCCCTCCTAAGAATTAGCTGGGTTTCTCCTCTTGGATATGATGGGGTTCCAAGTGTCTATGGTTAATAGTTTTTGATTGTATATTTTTTGAGCGTGTCTCTTACATCTTCCTTCAAAAAATTGTTAGTGTACTAATTCTATAAGTGTAAAACTGTCTTTAGAAGTCTCGAAATGAATGATCAAGTAAATAAAATATGATTCTTATATTAGAAGATCACAAGTTCAAATTTTTTTTTTTAACACTTATGCTTTTTGTTTTCCAATTAATGAATACATTTATCAACCTTATTTTTCAATTTCCAATCATGATTTACCAATGATACCAACACGGTAAAACCCAAGCTCTCCTGCATGCCATCCTGAAAAAGGTAGAAAAAGACATTTCACACCCAAATGGCCAAATGTTCCAAAGGTACAACCAAATTTTCTATCTTTTTAAAAAGGTAATTATAGAATCAAAATTGTGATAAGGAGGAGCCATTGTTAGGAGATGGGCCACTCTACCCTACACCATAGTGGGCAAGAGCGCTTCCTAATCCATAATCAATGACCTCGTAAAAGTGCAAACCCCAAATCCCATCAACACATTATTATATTTTCCTTGGGAAGAAGGAAGTACATATATAATATATTCTTTGGAAGTGCACTACCCGCATGAGTAGCTTAACTGGTCATTGAAGTGAAACTTTGAAAGAATGACCAGGAATTGAGTCTCATTAGCGGCAGTGTGGGAGCAATCTCTCAAAGTGAGGGGAGCTCCTTGTGCGCGCAGGAGCCTCTGTGGTTCATGTTCAGTTGAGTCACCATGATTTACATCCTCCCAAATGCTCTGTCGGGTCGGGGTGTGCGGGGCCTTGGAGTTGAGGTTCAACCTTTTGGAAGAATATATAATATATTCTTATTATTATGATATGTCATTAGTTATTATTGGTTTTAAAGAAATCAGTCGGTTAATGTGGCAGGAATATAACTTTATTGGGACACTATCAGTCAAGTTAATTGAATAACTGATTTGATAATTACAAAATTTTAAATTTGATTTTTTATATGAATTATGTGTTAGTACACTTAGTTTGAACATGTTAGATATGAGAAACTTAGATTGGTTTATACATGCTAGGATCACAATGTGAACTTCACATATAATACATATTTGAGTAACAATTACAAATTTTTATATAAATCAAATTGTTTTGACTGTTTTCCTTCTTAAATTAAGCATGTCACAGAATAATTGTTTTATTGGTCTTAAAGAGACCACTTGCATAATGTTTTCTCTTTTGACCGTTCAATGTGAGTCGATAGAAGTATATACCTAGAGAATAAATAATAATTTTAAAAGTAAAATGATATTTTCTTCTATTAAATTTACTTCATAAAGTTACAATAAAATTCATTATATTTTTTAACCGTTTATAAATTGATTAATCTTAGAATGAATTCAAAACAAAAATAAAATCCACTCAATATAGCCCATATCAGAGAGAGAAAAAAAAAAGAAAAAATTAATCAAGTAATGTTGGGTGGACTCGATCCGTAAAACGAACGGAGAAAAATTCAGAACACCTCATAATTTACACTAAAACAAAAAAAAAAAAAAAATCAACTAATGTCAAATTGAAAATGAATAATAAGAGGTCAATTTAAAAGAGAAACATAACATAACACATTTCTAAGTATTTAAGATTATTATTTTTTTTTAAATTAGGAAGTTTTTTTTTTTGTTTTTTTTTTTTTGAATTCGGACTCTATTACAATGTAATATATATTCATAACTACTTTCTTAACATAAAGAGTCAATATCGTCTTCACTAAGGCTCGATCTCACACCCTCTCCTATAGAGGGGTAATTTAATGTCATCTGGATTTATTATGAAGTTTATTTGAGTACGTATTTAAATAATTTTGCCATCTTTTTAGCACTAATAGTCAATCGTTACATAGCAGTATAGAATACATTTATTTAAAACTCAATCCATCACTCAATTAATCACCATTATTAAACATTTATTTAATCAAATTTAGAAAGTGATTATTGTCTTACTAAAACACTTCACACTAATTAAGCATAATTTGAAAGCAACGTCTCTCTTCTCCTCTCTCTCTCTCTCTCTCTCTCTCTCTCTCTCTCACGCAAACTCATGCCACATGCTGAGAACCCAGATGACCGTTGTGGCCCATAGCCGTAAAGTCATTTTGGGCGCTCGGACCCAGCGGCCAAAATTTCCTTTACTAGCCGTTGGATTTGAATAAAAACCACCCAATCCGTCTGCCCAATCACACAGACAAGAACCCACTATTCTCTCCGTCCATTTCTTCGTATTCTTAGGTCTATTGATGCTCCCCAGACTGGAATCTTGGGGCTTGAAGAGGTGAAAAGGGAAGGGTTGTTTTCGCTTTCTTTTGTTACATTGTTCTTGGGGTTTCTGGGACTTGGTTTGAGATGGATCAAGAAAACATGGTTGTTGTATCTGATGAGAACAATGGAGCCTCGATTAAACCCAGAAATGTTCAAGGTAACAAAAGATTAGAGAGAATGTGGTAGCTGCCATTTGCCAGTCAAGTTTGAATCTTTTTCAATTCCCACTTTTTCCTGAATTATTTTCCTTCGGAAGGAAAGTTTTATAATGGGTTTTGGTAACCCAATTTTATTGATTTTTTTGTTTTTTTTTTTTTGAATTTGAATTCAAAGCCAGATAGGCAGATAATCTAAAATGGGGCATTTGTTATTATTATTATTATTATTTTTGGTGACAAGACCGTGTGCATAGGATAAACCTTTGGTTGCAACCGGCTAGAAAGTCAAAAGGTCACTCTTGTTGGGAATCGAACTTGACCGGTCTGACCAGCTTGGTTGGGTTGCCCGTTATTATTTATTTATTGATTGATTGATTTCATTCTTGATGTATGGAAGGTGGGGCAGAGATGGATGGAAGAAAGTTTGGAATGGAGGGGAGGCAGAACAGGAGAGTTTTGAGTGTAATAAATCAGAATCTGGGAGCTCATCCATACCCATGTGTTGTTAGGAAGAAAGAATTATCAGAGTAATTCTCATCTCAAATCTAAAGATTTGTCTTTTTTTTTTTTTTTTTTTTTTTTTTCTTCAATGTTTTTTACCCTCTCTTTGTGTGTTTTGGAAAAGCTAAATTTTGTTTATTTATTCATGTTCTTGTGCCCAGAAGAAATAGGGTGGGTGACAAGAATCCTGGTATACCAGCTAATAGGCCAATCACAAGGTTCAGATAAGAGAGATTCAAAAAATTTCTTGTCAATTTTTATCTGGGATTTCTAAAGTGTATAACTTTATGATATCAGTAGACTGATTATTTAAAATTTCAATTTTTTTTTTTTTTTCTGAATAAAGAAAATTTGCTGCCCAAATTTCTGACTCCCAGCAGCAACATTGTCATGAGGTACAATTTGCTGCCCAAATTTCATTTTTTTCTTATATGTATGAGATTGCTGAGTTGATTAGTAATAATATATTCAATTAAAGGCTAAATATGGCTTAATGATGTTGATTAGGAAAACAAGAAGCCAAGAACTGTGGCTGATGATGATGATGAAGGTGGTGATAAAGACCAGCCAGTTCCTATGGCTTTGGAGCATACAGAAATGGTGGTTTCAAATGAAAAGACTCAAATTGTAAGAGCATTTTGATGTTTACAAGTCATATCTTCTTTGTTTTCTTTATGGGATTTGTATTAGTAGATTAGAGAGATGAATTGGGGATGTGTTTTGCAGGAGGAGGTTGAAATGGAGGATATATTTGAGGATGCTGTATTGGACATTGACAGTGGTGATGCCAGGAATCCTCTTGCAGTTGTTGAATACATTGAGGATCTTTATGCCTATTACAGAAAAATGGAGGTAATGACATTTCTCTTACAAAGAAATTCTTGTACTACTACAAATGCAGGGGGGTGGTATATGAATGACCATGGTAGCCATTGTTGAATGCTAGTTTCAGTATAAAGGACCCATGGTAGCCATTGTTTTGTTTTTGGGTGACGAGGGAAACCTGTTGTCACTATCTGATGATGTGCTGCATAAATCTCGCTTTGTGATCCTAGCTGGCAAATGATCACAAATAGATAAACCAATCTAGATTGCTCATACCTGATCAGCTCAGACCAAGAAGGTCAATAAGACGAGGGAAAACCTGTTGTCACTATCCGATGGTGTGCTGCATAAATCTTGCTTTGTGACCCTAGCCGGCAAAGGATCACAAATAGATAAACCAATCTAGATTGCCCATGGCTGATCAGCTCAGACCAAGAAGGTCAATAAGCCGCTCTCACAATGAGGTAAACTTGTAACCTTGTGGTTACTAAGTCAACAGCCTGATCAACTTGGCTGGAGTTGCCCCATAGCTGTTGTTGAATGCTAGTTTCAGTATGAAGGACCCATGGCAGCCATTGTTGAATGCTAGTTTTCAGTAGACATATTTCAAATCTGCATTTTGAAATGTGAAATGACTTTGTCCCATTTGAAGAGAAAAATCACCTTATGGCAATACTTTTAGATAAGAAACTCACATGAGATTATATGTGGAATCTTGGGGGAAAAAATGTTTTTTGAGATTCTTTTATTCAAACTTGTGTCAGTAGTACTAGTTGTGCCATGAAGTATTCAAAAATCTGTTGCCTCTTCAATTCAATGCCCATCTGGCACTGACACAAACAAAATGCTATTACTAACTGTTAAGAGTGAATTTATTACACTTGGGCAGTATCTTTATTGCATATCAGAATTCGATTTCTAATAATTTACCATCATTTGCAGAACTCTAGCTGTGTATCCCCAGATTACATGGCAAAACAGCCTGACATCAATGAGAGGATGAGGGCGATACTAATCGACTGGCTTATTGAGGTGCATCACAAGTTTGAACTCCGGGAAGAGACCTTGTTCCTTACTGTCAACCTTATAGATAGGTTCTTAGAGAAACAAGGCATCGTGAGAAAGAAACTTCAGCTCGTTGGGTTGGTCGCCATGCTGCTAGCCTGCAAGTACGAGGAGGTTTCTGTCCCGATCGTCGATGATTTGGTGACCATTTCAGACAAGGCTTACACAAAACAACAAGTTCTTGACATGGTTAGTAGCAGAACTGCAGTTCTTGATCCCAATGGTTAGCATTTTTCATTTTCTCAAAGTTCTCATCATCACTCGTTTCGTTTCGTGTTTTTGCAGGAGAGTTGTATGCTCAACACACTGCAATTCAACATGTCGGTCCCGACTCCTTATGTGTTCCTGAGGAGATTCCTCAAGGCCACACAGGCTGACAAGAAGGTATATATGAACTCGAATGAACTGTTTTTTTTTTCGTTTGTGTTCTCGTTTTCTTGCTAACATTGGTTGAGAACCTGGTTATAATAACAGATGGAGTTATTGTCTTTTTTCTTGATTGAGCTGTGCCTTGTGGAGTACAAAATGCTGAAAGTTCCACCATCCACTTTGGCCGCGGCTGCAGTCTACACTGCTCAGTGCTCACTCCACTGTCTCAGGCAATGGAGCCAAACCTGTGAATGGCACACTGGCTACTCAGAACATCAACTTCTGTAAGTAGTCTCCCACCATAATAACCTGCATCTGTTACTTATCATCAGTGTTGCAAAAATCGCGCCTAGGTGGTCCCCAGGTGCCTAGGAACTCTAGGCGGTCCCCAGGTGCCTTAGAGGGCGCTCTAGGCGGTCCCCAGGTGCCTTAGAGGGCGCGGCGCCTAGTGATTTTTTCAACATTGCTTATATCATTAAAGGGTGTCAAATGAACGGGTTAGCGCGAATTCTAGTCCTTATAATTAAAGGGTGACACCTCAGTCCCCAGGTGCCTTAGAGGGCACTTTAGGCGGTCCTCAGGTACCTAAGCGCTCTAGGCGGTCCTCAGGTGCCTTGGAGGGCGCTTAGTGATTTTTTCAACATTGTTTATATCTTCGTGAATTCTAGTCCTTATCATTAAAGGGTGACACCTCTATGAATGGTTGCTTTTTGTGCAGGGAAAGCTCAAGAATGATGGTGAGCCTGCACCAGAAGGCAGCAACAGGGAAGCTTACAGGAGTGTATAGGAAGTACAGCATATCAAGATTTGGGTGTGTGGCAAAGTGTGAGCCACCCACTTTTCTGCTTATTCAAGAATAGCAATATGCAGAGAAAGAGAGAGATATAGAGAGAGAGAGAGAAGAGAGAGAGTTTTACATGGCTTTTTCTGCAAATTACAATTATGGATTTGGTTGGGGGAGAGGGGGGGTAAGTATAGTGTTCTTACAGAAATAAGTTAGAAAAAGCAACAGTCTTGAGTTGCCCCCAGGTGTGAATTGTGAGAAGGGTGCTTTGATTGCTTTCAATTGGACATTCAATTTGGAGATTAATCTTTTTTTTTTTTTTTTTTAAGTTTACAAATTATTCTTCTATTATATATTATGATAAGTTTTGTTAGTTATGATTTTAAACTCTCTTTCATATCTATTCATCTCGCTCTACATTATCCTAATTTAATATCTATCCAACTCGGTTCAACATATCCAGAATTGGTATCTATTTCTTAGCTTAACCAAATAAGTAGATTTTGTGTTTTGATAAACAAATAAGGTTTTAGGCCTAGTGAAAAAAGGCCATAGATAACATGAGAGGGGATTGGTGAGACTCACTTGGATAGAATTCTATAAAACATGAGGCTGGAAGAGTTTGATGTAGAACTTTTGTAACGTGTTATTACTTGTTTCGGGGTAGTTTGTATTCAAAATATAAAAAATAAAATTCAAGTTGGTAAGATTATTGACTTGGTATGGTTACAAATTCGACTCCTAGCGGGAACGATCTATTGAGCTTCTTGATTTAGGTCAGTTATGAGCGGGTCAACTTCCTTGTGGTCTTCTGCTCACTATTACTAAGGTTACAATACAAGATTTACACATTCGAATAATGATTATGTATTTTTTAATAATTCAAAAAAAGTTAGAATAATAATAATAATAATAATAATAATAATAATAATAATAATAATAATAATAATTAATGAATCAGATTCAATAATCCAATAATAAATAATTAAATATTGTAAAGTTTTAATTGTGATTAGTTCATGCCTTCATGGTGGGTGGAGAACAAATAACTGCGCCGCCAACCCTAGATATTGACATTTGTAGCACAAATTTCACTCCACGACGTCGTTTTAATATGAATTAGTGTCTTAAATTTGTCTTGAAATTAACTTCATATTTCAATGTTTCAGTCAAGTGGAATTCACACATTTTCAAAATATTTTAATCTTTAAATCAATTTTTTTTGTCATTATTTTAACCCTTCACATATAAATATATATAAATTAAAAAAAAAAAAAGTAAGAAAAAAGTAACTCTCAATCTCATATTCAAATTTTTACTCACTGTATTTTCTCGCATATTTGTATTTTTAATTATGACAAATTATTTCAAAAGGCTGGCCTGTTTGGTTGGGCGTAATTTGGTTGTAGTTGAATTGCAATTCAGTGGAAGCTACAATTACGCCGTTTGGTTGGAGGGAATTGCAATTCCACAGAATTACAATTCCCTCCTTTTGCTGAATTGCAATTCATGGGCACCCCCCTATGAATTGCAATTCGGTAGTTGTGGGAAAAGGAAAAAGGGATGAAATGACAAAAGTACCCTTAATTATTACTATTATTATTATTACACAAAGACATTTTAGTCTTTATATCACTTCTTTCATTCCCTACCCAATAATTCTATTCATCTCTACCAAACAATGTAATTTGAATTCTTACTTTATTCCCACCTTATTCTTTTTCCACCGAATTGCAATTCCTTTCCACCCTAATTCCTTACTCTCAACCAAACGCCCTGTTAACTCTAAGGGTAATTATGACAAATTAAAATAATGATTAGTGGTAAAAAAAAAAAAGAAGATATATTTGAATGGATTGTTAATATCAATAACAAAATGATTAAATTGATTGAGAAACATATATATTTAAATGGATTATTAATATCGATAACGAAATGATTAAATTGATTGAGAAATAAAGTGGAATAAAATTAACTATACAATGCTAATATAGAAATCAAATGTTAATATTTTAATTGAAATTTTATTCTATATAAGAAAACATTTTAACTTAAATAAAAAAAAAAGATAAATCGTACTGGACAAAATCAAATTAATCTTGTATGAGATCATCAATTTGTAAATGAGTTAATGTACGATTTGGTCTCCCAATTATTAGCGAACTGTCAATGTAGTTCTTCAATTACTTATTCATTGATTTGGTCCCCGAAAATAATTATTTTTAGTCAATTTAGTCCCTCAGGTCCGTCTTCCGTCGACGATCGGAAGGACTAAATCGACTAAAAATAATTGTTTTTGGGACCAAATCGACGGCCGGAGAGAGAAAATCAATTAAAAATAATTATTTTTGGAAACCAAATCAATAAATAAGCAATTAAGGGACAACATTGACAGTTCGCTATTAATTGAGGGATCAAATCATTGATTAAGTCTACTTTTTAATTAAAATATACTCTGTAATAAGTAGTCATTTAAGAGTCTTCACCTACCACCGTGGGCCCCACTTTAAAGAAGGAAGGCAATTGCTGTTTGGTCTGCAATTCTGCATGTTGTAGAAAACTTGTTTTTCTCCTGACGCAAAAACTCCATTAAAACCCACAAAACCTATATTCTTCTTCTTCTACCGGAGGTTGAAGAAGAATAAACATGGCCGCCATGTCAGCCGCCGCTACGCTTAGAAATCCCACCACGCTTCACCACCGCAATCTAAACTCCGCCGCACACGTCGCCACCTTCCCCGCCTCCCTCTCCCTCCCGTCCAAGACCGCCGTCGCCGCCGTTAAATGGACGCCCATCACCTGCAAGTCGGCAGCCACGGCCGATTCCGCCGTCCAAGCTCCGCAGACGGCCGGGGATTCCTCAGATCGCGTGTTCAATTTCGCGGCGGGCCCCGCCACCCTCCCTGAGAATGTTCTACGGAAGGCGCAGGCGGAGCTCGTGAACTGGCGGGGCTCCGGGATGTCTGTGATGGAAATGAGCCACCGCGGGAAGGAGTTCACGTCTATTATCCAGAAAGCGGAGGCGGATCTGCGGGCTCTGCTCAACATCCCGGAGGATTACGCCGTGCTCTTCCTCCAGGGCGGCGCCACCACCCAATTCGCCGCCGTGCCCCTCAACCTCTGCGCCCCCGACGACGCCGTCGATTACATCGTCACCGGATCGTGGGGAGACAAGGCGTACAAGGAAGCTGGGAAGTACTGCAAGCCCAATGTGATCTGGAGCGGGAAATCGGAGAAATACACTAAGATTCCGAGCTTCGACGCCTTGGAACAAAACCCGCACGCCAAGTATTTGCATATATGCGCCAATGAAACTATTCACGGCGTGGAATTCAAAGATTACCCAACGCCCAAAAACAAAACCTCCCTTCTTGTCGCCGATATGTCGTCCAATTTCTGCTCCAAACCCGTCGACGTTACCAAGTTCGGGATCATCTACGCCGGCGCGCAGAAGAACGTCGGCCCATCCGGCGTCATGATCGTGATAATCCGGAAAGATCTAATCGGCAATACCCAACCAATCACTCCTATAATGCTGGATTACAAGATCCACTCTGATAACAATTCGCTCTACAACACTCCCCCTTGCTATGGGATTTACATGTGCGGGCTAGTTTTCGAGGATCTATTAGCTCAGGGAGGATTGGGGGAAGTTGAGAAGAAGAACATGAAGAAAGCTGAGATCTTGTATGAAGCCATTGATTCCAGCAATGGGTTTTACAGGTGCCCAGTGGAGAAATCTGTGAGGTCTTTGATGAATGTTCCCTTTACATTGGCTAAACCAGAGCTGGAAGGTGAGTTTATTAAGGAGGCTGCTGCTGGGAAGATGGTGCAGCTGAAGGGGCACAGATCAGTGGGTGGAATGAGGGCTTCCATTTACAATGCTATGCCTTTGGCTGGGGTTGAAAAGCTGGTTGCTTTCATGAAGGATTTCATGGCAAAGCATGGTTAAGGTCCTGTTTTCCTATCTGGCTTTTTGCTTCAAGATTTTAGCTTTCTTTTCTTAGCATTGTTCTTTGGTAATTCTTCTTTTTTATGTTATGTTGGTTGGTCTATTTGGGTAGAATCGAAACTCTTATAGCTCTGGAAACACAGTTGATGATAAGAATGAATTCATATCCTGTTCTTTTTCCATGTTTAAGATTAAGACAGGAATCTGCAACCATCTTTGTGATTGATAGAACTTTGATATTCATCAGGTTTGCATAACTTTGTGTTAACAGTATACCATTTGCTTGCTTGAGTTAAGGTATAAGTTTCAGTGTGGTATAGCTCTACACTGCTTACTATTGTTAAATGTTACTATCTCCCAAATGGGATGTTGTTTAAGGTTAAAAAAAGACCGATGAAGAATTTGTAGATTTTCTGTTGTTGCTGTCGTTTCTTTGATTTACAGGAAAGTCTACAACCGTAACCCCAATGTGTGTAGTTTGGCTGAAGCCTATCTTGTGATCCTAGTCAATAAAAGACCACAAGGAGGTAAATCAGCTTAGATTTCTCATAGCTATGATTTCTGCTCCGTAAATTGAACCAACCTGCATAGATTGTGCATAGCTGTGATTTCTGGTTGGTAAATCAAGAATTAGGAGAGTGTTTTGTGGGTTAATCAGAGGCAACATTTCCATCATCCACCAACCATCGCTTATTCCCCCACTTGATGCAGAAAGTGACTGACGAACCATTGGAAAATTTGGTTGTTGGGTTGTTGAACACCAGACTGATTCTTTGACAATCTAATATACAAACTTTGTTTGAAAGTGTCTTTATGAATTGACACTATAGCCGATGAGAGTTTAGTTTTGGCATAAGATGCCAAAACAACGTTATAAAATGGCAGCATTTCTGAATGGTGGATCTACTAGTAGTGAATGTGAATGGTCTGACACAATATTTTCTTTACATTGTGGGGACCATGTCACATTAAAATGCAGATTACAGTGTCTTCTTCGACAAAATTGGCAGTATTTCTCCATCCGTCTTGGCCATCATGAAGAATCATGATCTTGAAGCATATCATCAGTTGCTGAGTGGACTGGCACCTTACATGTCTAGTACAGGACTTGTTGACACTTTTTCACCCCCCCCCCCCCCCCCCCTCCTTTTTTTGGTACTTGGTGATACTACTTTGTCAAGTATAATGAAAATACTACTTGCACTCTCAAGAATATATATTCTCATCATACGACTTAGTCGACAATGTAACATAAGAGCATCATACGACTTAGTCGACAATGTAACATAAGAGCATCATTATCATCAATTGAGGATATTAGGGGAGAATGTAATGATTAGGAAAGAAAAAAGAAAAAAAGCAAAATTGAATTTAAAAATAAAAAATAAAAAAATAACTGGCATTGTCAGGCGCGCCAGTACGCGCCCGGCTTGAAACGGGTACAATCTTTCCTTTTTTAATTTCTGACATTATTTTGGGTTGTTGCAGGCCAATTCTTTCTCAAATCTTTCCCTCCTACATCAGCTTTGCTCTTCACCTTGAGAGAATTAATTCTGAAATATCTTGGCATTCACTCCTAGTGTGGATGCTCCAAGGGTATCACTATCAATGGTTTTTGGTGAGATTTTTGCAATTTTTAGGTCCATGTGAAGGAAAGAGAGGCTTGGAGAGAGAATGGTGAATGGTGAGTTCCTCGTGCAAGGCAGAAGTCTACTGCATTGTTTTTTTTTTTTTTTTTTTTTCCTTTTTCCTTCTTTTTTTTCTTCCCTCTTTTTTCTTCTTCTCTCTCCTAATTGACACCTCAAAAATCACAAAAAAAACTACTCCTATTGAGGTTGCTATTGAGGTTGCTCTAGGGTTGGCCCCCAATAGAAGTACAACTCAAATTTCTTGATTATGTCGAACTATATCCTGAATTCTCAAAAACCTAAGGTAAGTCTCAAATTGTCGATTGATTAAAGTTCCTCAATAACTTCTCAGGTTCCCGATAGAGTTCAAATTCCAACCTGCCACCGAAAGCAAAACTATATGTTAATCAGTCGACCATTTGAACTACCCTAACAGGCTCCAAGCATTTCCTACTAGACATGAATGAACTCTGTAACCCCCGACTGACTATTCTAACACACTCCATAATCCATATGGACCATATCATGTAATTTACTCTCTTTTTTCCCCTTGGTATAGGGGAATAAAAACAAAACAAAACAAAATTTACAAATATCTAGGCTATTATGAGTCTACAAAGGTCAATAGAAAGAAGTGACTTTAGACTAGTCAGGAGAGTCTCAAACACATGAAAACCAAGAGGGATCAAAGCCAATGTAATTTAACAAAGATGACATAATTTTCCCTATGTCCATTAACATTGAATTGCATCAACTATACTACAGAAAAGGGAGAAGTGCAGCTATCCACTGGAATAAAAAGTACATCATCTTTTGCAGAAAATACAACTGATTAGTGCTGTTTCCAATCTGTAACAAGCTTTATTCTTTTATTCTTCTTCATCGCCCTATATTTACCAAGGTGAAAACCCGAGATCATTTTCACCCCCATTGAAGCGAGTGGGGAAATGCAGTTATCTGCATTCATGAATCCATACTCCCTAGCCTGCATATGACCCAACACTTCCTGTAAAGAAGCCACGAATCGGATTACATAAGCTTCGTCGTGTAGGGAATCAACGAACAATCAAATCTGAAATGTTTGCACAATATTAAACATCTGCCTTAACGAGGATTCTCACAGCTCTAACAAAGCAGCAACGTATTAAAACATTGTTCGACGAATGAATCTCATGTAACTTTTGAACTGTTTAATGCCCCTATTGTAACATGTTCAACTGCTAAAGAGACCTATCCTTATTGTCAGGTTTTCGGGTCAGCTGGATCAACTAGAATAATCAAATTCACTAAGAACATTCTCTAAAAGCAGACCTTTTCGTTTACTCGTAGCAGCTAACCAAATAAACGAAATACTCTCCCACGTTAGATTGTAGACCTAGAATGGGACGATGAATCTCACCGTTGAATCACGTTGCAGGGAACCGTCCAGCAATTTGTTCAAAAAATTCTTTGCTAGCATCTGCAAATACCGATTAAAGATTCATAACAGTAATTTTTTTAAAAAATGATAAAGTTGAGAAACAGCATGTTTGACATACCATGTTTCATTGTCAAAGATGGATCTTGATCTTCTACATAACCAATCACTTTTGCAGGTATTCCCGCCACCATGCTTCAAAAGTCAAAACCGAAAAGCCATTAGAACCCACATCGTTATTGACAAATTTAACATCGTGAACTTGGTAATGCAACTTTGGATACGACAAAGATATCTAGGACTAGTATCCTACCTGTGGGGAGGAATGTCTTTTAATACGAGTGAACCGGCGGCTATCATCGCACCTTCTCCTATTTTTATGTTCCCAAGGATAGTTGCACTAGCTCCAATAAGTGCACCTTGGCCTATTTTTGGATGGCGATCGCCAATTTCTTTCCCGGTACCTCCCAAGGTCACACCCTGCATGATTGCAGATTCTGGAATAGTTACATGTAGAAAACCGAACACATGCATCCACAATGCAGATACTGGGAAAAGAGAAAAAAAATTCTTGTGCATTTTGGACTATCCAGTATCCATAACTGAAATCCAATTCAGGGGTAGATCTAGGGTGGGATAGGCAACTAGAAGGATTATAGCAGACAATGGGGGTGTCTGGAAAATAGCTGTTAGCTGATTGGGTTAGTCATTAGTGAGTTTGACTAGTTGATAGCATTAGCTGATTGGTAAATTAGTTGTTAATTGATAGCTGATTACATGCAAAATGACTTTCTCAAAAAGTTGATCAAAAAAGCTGCTTTGAACAGTTTTTTGAATTTTAGCGTTTTGGAGAAATAAGCTATTACAAAAAGCTAATTAATCAAACACTTATATTGGTTGTTTAACAAAGTCAAACAGATAATAGTAATCAAATAAGCCAAAATTGGCTGATAAGCTAACTATATTACCAAACAGGGCCAATGACGGGATTAAAAAATGCAGTTGGTTGTTCCATGTGGTTAAGATTATACTTAACATGATTGGATTTAGGGCTTAATGAAAAAATGGCGTTCCAATTACCTGCATTATTGAAACTCTATTTGCAACGACGGCAGTTTCCCCAATGACTACACCTGTAGCATGATCGAGAAGGATGCCCTCTCCGATTTGTGCAGCTGTTGACAATATAGGCAACACAATAGTAGAAATACATTCAACACAAGACAACCTATTCATAGGACTACATAGGTCCAATGTAATAAAACCGAAGACAGTAAATTGAAAACATTACTTAATAGCTAAGATAACATCAGCCTGAAGACAGAATTACCTGGATGAATGTCAACCCCAAAAACCTGCAATTAGCAACATCTTCATGTTACGATGAAACAATAGAAAAAGGCTAACACTGCTGAAGTTGAAGTAACATCAAATCAGATCAAATATATATATATATATATATATATATATATATAAAACACTACCTCACTGACTCGACTTTGCAATGCCAGTGCGAGGACTTTGCGCCCCTGATTCCACAATGCATGTGCAACTCTATGTGTTTGCAACGAATGGTAACCCTATTCAAATAAAAATTGGGAAAAGAAATGCAATTTTTCATTCTCCAGATTTGTATATGCCAGGGTACTATCAACTTCTAAGTACTTATTAAGAACAATTCTATGATATCGGAAGAAGTAATATGCTAAAAGCTATCCATCAATGAGAAATGAAAGAAAAGCATTACCTTAAGGTACAATAAAGCAGAACAGTATGACAAACAAGAGGGGTCCCTATCTTTGAATGCCTGCGTGGAACACAAATGCAAAATCGCTAAGATAGAAAGCCAAAATAATAAATAAGGTCGAGACAGATCTTGCAAATGTAAATACTTGTATATCCATTCGAATGGAACGTTGGATCCCTCGATCATGCAACATTACACCACAGAATATGTCCGACAACTGTGTTGCCAAAAGCGTGGGATTTTGCAGCCGGTTCGCAAGAACAAAACCTAACGCCTGCTCCAGGCAATTGTGCGACAAAATACTCGCATATAGAAAGCTACTCAATATGGGCTCCTTCTCTACCTGAAACATTTGTCAGCCAAAAAAAAATTTACTGAAAACCTTCCCTTTTTATTTTTTATTTTTTTAGAGAAAGTATACACCAGATACTACCTTGTAATAGAGTCAATAGTACTGAAAACCTTCATGTATGAACAAAATATCAAATTTTCTAAACTTAACTATTTAAGAACATTTCAAATGCCAAGATGTTTATAATATTATTACTTAGAAGCAGAACTGTGGAAAAAATTACTTTTTAATCTCACTCTTTAATCTCTTATCATCACCTTTTCAATTTTATCTTACACTAAAATACTCAAGCTATTTCCTTCTAGCAAACTGATCATGGTTGAGTTTACAGTACTCCATATCAATTCTACCTAAATCCATGTCACCAACACCCTAATGGACCGCTGAGTCACCGTAATTTAACACCTCCATAAATCCTGTCGGGCCATGGGTGTGGGGCCCAGAGCGAGGGATTTAGCCTTTTGTGGCCAAAGATAGCAGCAACCTACTGTACTTACTGTTGTTATAATGAATCCATTTGTACCAAAGAAGCTTCAAATCCACTACTTTAAACCTGATTTCATTCTAGACTTTACCTAAAACTTAAGTTAAATACACTACAGTATAATAAAGTAAGAATTTTAACTTAAAAATGCAATCTTTTTGCTTCTTATCTCCTCTTCACCATCAAAACTAGCAAAATTGCAGAAAGGTTCGTTACATGGAGTATTTAACTGAATAGAATTATGAACAGTGACCACATAAAAGGTACCTCTGACTTGGCTTCTTCTCGAACGGCATCCCATATAGGGTCGCCAACTCCCCTACCCGAATTGGCGAGCGAGACAACCAGGTTCGGGTCGGGTTCCGAAACTCCGACTGCGTAAACCGGGAAGACCTTCTCCAGCCGGAACTCAGCCATGGCCGGCGGCGGGGGGGTGGGCCCGTAGTTATCGGGAGGGGTCTCCTCTTTGTTCCGGGTTGAGAGCATTTGGATGAGAGCAAAGCGAGTGTCGTTGCTCAAACAAGCCATATATGATATATCCAACCAAAATATTACGCGTGCGTTTACCTTGCTGCTATGACCTAGGGTTTCGCCATAGGATGCATGCAATTATGAAGTGGGAAGAGAGAGTGGATTGTATTGCAATGGTGTAGAAGATGATGATGATGAAGGATCATGATTCATGTGCACCATATTCTTTTACTGTATTTCCATATGATGATATGAACCTCTCATCTATGTTTTTTAAATTATATTCATTTGGGCCACCATATTTCAACTAATTTCTCGACTTCGCCACACTATATTTTAAATTTCAATGAATCCACCCCAAGACTCAAGAAAGATGTAAATTTGAGTTGTCCAAATTATTTCAGGTTCCTCGCCGCATGTACTTCGGTACACAAGAGGGTTTTATCATCACTGATTGTTAGAAGCAAGATTAAACGTTGATTAGTCAACAATTTAACGAGGCATTTCTATTACAGAGTAATTTTTCATAATATAATATATATATAATTTTTTTTATATCAGATGGTACAAATGATAATGGTCCTATTTGGTAAATGACTGTTATCTGTTAGTTGTCTGGGTTAATTAGAGGCTATAACGTTGATAAGATTAGCTGATTGTAAAAAGGTGTTTGGTAAATTAACTGTTAGCTGATAGCTGTTTGGTATAATTTTTTTTCTCAAAAAACTAATTGAAAAAGTTGTTTTGCGTAGCTTTTTGAATTTTAACATTTTGAAATTACAAAAAGCTAATTAACAAAACACTTATATTGATTTTTTAACCAAGACAAAGAGCTAACAGTGGTCAAATAAGCTAAAATTAGCCTATAAGCTAACTATTTTACCAAATATGAATATTTGTGTAAATAGTGAAAATAAATTACAGTTACAAAAATATTTTGATTGTTTGCTATTTATAGTTAGTATGGTGGTCTATAGATGTTATTATTCTTAGAAAAGTTAAAATTATTGTTGATGATCGATACGTCCTACGCGTAGTTATAACTTATATAAAATATACAATAATCAAATTTGTGCTTCATGCAATTACTTTCTTGTTTGTTTATCAATTTTCTTTAATTATTTTGGTGATAATCACATTAATACTTTCATATAGTGTGAATGAAGTTGATTTAATTTTTAATTCAAATTAAATCTCAATGATTTAGGTGTAATTAATAAAAGTTAAGAGTCTTCAATGGAATTATAGGAAACCGTAAGGATTCAAGTGAAAGTATCTATTTTAAAATTATTATTGTTTGATGGTATCTGTTCATTGTTTTTATTTGTTTTATATTTTATATTTTATCCTACTTAATTTAAACAATATATTATAACTAGATAACTAATAACATATAACAATTAGCCATTATTAAAATTTGAAAATATTTAATAATTGCTTATTGTAAATGTGGATACAATCGTACAAAAACTACCTGAGGCTGAAAGCATCTACAATGATTTTCTCATTTATCTTTTCATTATGTGGACTAAACTCTTCTATATCACATTATAATCTCCTCTCATATTTTTTCTCCAATCCTTCTCTCATTTTCTCCCTTTTTGTGGGCCCTACTCCTTTATATGCATTTACACATCATCTATTATTTTATTTATTTTTTTTTTATAATTAATAATTTCAACTTTAAAATTAGAATTTCTTACTTTTTTTTTTTTAATTAATAAAGCTAAGGTATGCTCCTGAAAAAGGCACGCTTAGTAAACATGCTTTGGAGACAACCTTTTCTCCGGAGCATGTAACTTCTCTCGTCTTCAATCATAAACTCTCATTTTTTTTCCTTTTTCTCCCTCTTTTTCTCTCCAATTGGAGATGTCCTGAAGAATATGGTGGGTTTGAAACCAAACTACATATCAACTAAAGTATTACCACATGTTATTTATTTTAATTTTCTCTCTCGAAATGATAAGTATACAATATACGCATTGCTTAGTATGTCCTGCCAAAATAACAAGCCGAAAGTTTTTTTTTTTTTGAACCAAAAGAACAAGCCAAAAGTTAGTTGATGGGAATTAACAATGTTAAGTAAAATTAGTTGTTGAATAAGTTGATAAATGAAAAAAAAAAAAAAAAAAAAAAACATCCGAGTTTAATGAAATATTTGAGCTAATAATAATATTAATATCTAAAGTCTAAACGATACCAATATGCCATTCCTTCTCATTTTATTGCCGATGTTTGAATATTGATTAATAAATTTAGTCCTTTAGTTAAAAATAAAAATAAAAAATCAAAAGGATGGTTGATGAGTGGGTAAGAAATACATACTTAAAAATTACAGGCTTCGGTCAATACTTATTGAATTGCGATTAATTTCCCTCCTTACAAAAATAAACAATCACTTTATAAAAAATATAGAATAACATAACATCATTTTAGTGAAGTTCAAATGTGAATTTTGAATCTTATCAATTCTGTAAAATAATGATAAAAGTTTCATTTTAGAATGGAAAACGGTGGAAGGTTTTAGACATAGGAAAGACATGATTTAAATATTATTCCGTATAATTAAATATTACTCATTATTATTGCTGTTGTTATTGTTATTGTTATTTTTTTAAATATTTTTTGAGTACTTATTGTTGTTATTATTATTTTTTAATGTATGGTCCGGTCGTCTAGGGGGGTAAACATATTCTGTGGTTAAGATATGAATGTTTGTTTTCTTAGTTATTTTATTGCTTTTTGTTTGAGGTTGAGGACAAAGATTCTTGGTGGCTACCTTTCGCAAATGGCCCACAAGGCCACAACTTACCAAATCCACTTTGATAATTAGAGAGAAATGACACCAAAATTTACATTTGAACAGGTTGATGGTGACCTCCAACTTGTTATCAATCTATATTATTTAAATTTAGTTTGAGAGAGCCCTAAAAATCAAAACAGTTATAATAATAACAATATGATTATAATAATTTAATAATTGCTTCAATTGCATCGTTTTTACTGAACTCTTATTCATCCAATTGAAACTTTAACGGTAAAAGTAGTCCATCGCTCAAATTTCTCTGTTTGTTATATTAGGGCTAGGGTCGACTAATCAACATAACTCAAAATCAAGTGGCTTTAAGCTTTTCTCATGAAAATGTATGTAAGAACACGATTTCAAGAAAAATAAGTTTGAAATGAAATTTTCTAGAGGGTTAATCATTGTGAAAGTTTATAACTAAAAAAGCTCGATTTGAGGAGGAAGAAGAAATGTGTGGATGAAATAAAATTGAACATGCGTAATCATCGAACAAAGCGCCGCCGGGATGCTGCCGATAATGCGTTTTGCTGACTTGCCGGGCCTATGTTGTCTTGTCTGTACTCTGTAACGCACGTGAAGGACACCAAAAAGAAAGGAGCAACAACAACAACACTATTGCTTTGCCATTGTATCTAGCCTTAAATGAGTCCAGGAACAAGACCTACAAAATACCTTTAAAAAGGACAAAACAAAGGACAACACAAAAAAATAATGGTAGCATTTTGGGTAGCTCACTTGATTAGATTGATCAATTTAAAGTTTTATTCTAGCAATAGTGTGAGGTTCAAATTTCAATGAAAATCTGGAAGATTATGAAGCTTTGATCGATCATGGCCTCATGGGAGAATGGGAGATGAAGATCATTTGTGCGCATAGTGTACAAGTATAGGTGGGAATCTGAAAACTGTCAGAAATATGATTTTCGTATTTAAAGATTATAAGTTCAATTTTTGTTAACACGTTCTTAATCGAGTCTATTGCACATTCGCATGTAATTGGTTATTCGAGAATACAAATGCATCAGAGTCCATAGTGCATTGTGAACCATAGTCCATGGTATAAGGATTGTGACATGGGTAGCCTCTTTCAATTGTTATGCTATGCAACCGTGTGCATCAAGCATGGTGCACACGGTTGCAAAACAACGTCGTTTCATTAAAATTTAAAAAAAAAAAAAAAACCTCGTTCGGATTGTCGTTAACGGCGTTAGGCGGTTTCCTTTTGTATTTAAACAGTAGGATATATCCATAATTTCATAACTATATATCCAGAATTACATAACTATATATTTATAATTTGACAACAGTACATTCAGAAATAATAACTACACATTCATAATTTCATATCCATATATTCATAATTTCACAATTAGACATTCATAATTACATAACTCCATATTCAGAATTCTTAAAGTGTTTGTTCACAGAGAACTATATCCATAATTGCATAACTACACATTCATAATTTCAAAACTATATATCCATAACTTCATAACTATATATCCATAACTTCATAATTATATATTCAGACTTACATAACTATATATTCATAATTACACATCGATTGAGATTTTTGTAAGAAAAAAATAAAAAATTATTTGATTGGTGGAGTTAAACGGTGCCACTAATGGCACCGTTACTCCATCATAGTAAAATGGTGTCGTTTTGCAACCGTGTGCACCATACATGGTGCACATGGTGCACACGGTGCACAACATAATTTGCAAGCCTCTTTTGGGTCAATTGACGCAATCGTTATGCTGTGCATCCGTATGCACCATGCATGGTGCATACGGATGCCAAAACGACGTCGTTTTATTAAAAAACGCGTGTCTCCCCTTTAAAAAAAAAATCAGGTTCGATTCCCAGCAACAACATTATATTGTTCATTCATTCTGGAATTTTAGTTCATAGATTATGGAATTATAGTTCATTGATTATGGAATTATAGTTCATCAATTATGGAATTGTAGTTCATCGATTCTGAAATTTTAGTTTATAGATTATGGAATTTTAGTTCATTCATTCTGGAATTTTTAGTTCATAGATTAGATTATGGAATTATAATTCATTGATTATGAAATTATAGTTCATCGATTATGGAATTTTAATTCATATGTTGTTGCTGGGAATCGAATTTGATTTTTTTTTTTTAAGGGAAGACGCGCATTTTATTAAAACGACGTCGTTTTTACATCCGTATGCACCATGCATGGTGCATACGGATGCACAGCATAATTTGCCCAATTGACGTTGTATCTACAACCTATGGGCCTTGTACCTAAAAGTCCAGTTACCATATGTTTAGGAAAATCAACACCACCTATTATATTGGACCATATTTGCTGACCCATTGCCATATTATCATACAAAGCCAGCAAGGCTCCAACTTGATTTCTTGACCTAAAGATTATTGTGAGACGCACACAACATCTTAGCTACCGATCCATTGATATACCAAACCTGCTCTGCAAGATTTGGACTTAATCCCTTGACCCAAAGATTGTGATGGAGTTATGTTCACATCTTTTTTTTTTTTTTTTTTTTTTTTTTTTTTTTTTTTTTTTGAGTGATGAAAGAAATATACAATTATTATTTAAGAGTGCTTTATATAAATCTTGCTTATGTGTAATAGTTTGTAAATTATATAGAAGACGGGTTAGATCGATAATTTGTATAAAATGTTAGTCGAGGAACATTTACTCCATCAATACTATATATCTACTGTATTATTTACTTTCATTATTTTAGTGTTTCTCGCAACTGCTTGAAAGTGTGTATTGAATAAGTCATGTTATTGTGTAATAGTTTGTAAACTAAATAAAAAAATCATACTAAAAAGACATTGTAATACGGACTCAATTGAAAATGTGTTGACAAAAATTAAATTTATTTTCATTTTTAACAATATCATATATCATGGTAAAAGATTATATAATTTTGCCGCCCCCATCCCCCCAAGGCCTAGCATAGTGGCTGATCAATTGACCTAAAGTCATAGCTGGAGGTGGTAGGGTGGGGATTTGAACCCCACCTAAAACTTCATTGGAGTTTGGCTCTCCATGATGGAGTAGGGTTGTGCGCATAGTAAAATAGTGGATTGACTGAAAGGATATTCATACGACTTGAATTTATATCCTCTAGTGACGCACCCACTGAGATTCGAACTCACAACCTCTAGAGAGTAACTTGGTGCCAATAGAGTACAAAGTCCTTGGCATTAAGAAAGATTATATAATTCTCATAAAATACCAGTAATGCCTTGGGATTCACATGTAGATCAGATTTGGGTCACATTTTGTCTCGTGAGAGCTAGGGGTGTCAATGCGGCTCGATCTGTCTCATTAGGCCCGTATCACCACAGGCTCTTTTATTCGCGGGTCTTTGCGGACCGGCCCCTGTGCTAGGATTATACAATCCTACCTTGCCTCATACGGCCTCGCGGACCCCGTGGGTCAGCCCACAGACCAACTTCTATTTTTTTTAAAAAAAAAAATTATTATGCTATTATTCTATATTATAATAATTTAATCTAAATAATATTATTCAAAAATATGATATGTATAATGCAAGTCTCGGGTGCATGAAAATGAAAATACATACAATTAGTACTCCGATCCGTAATTTAATTTGGAAAATTTAAGTTGCATAAGCACGAGCTTTAATTTGTAGTGGATTAGTGGTCTAGCTAGAATTTATCTGAATTGGATAAGATCACAACAACAACGTAACATTATTGTTTCACTCGTGATTGACTAGGTTATCATCTGCATATTATGCAGCAACGTAACTTTGTCCTCTTTTATGTCTAAATTTGCTTAGCTAAATCAATTCTTGGTCTAACAGGCATGCAATCTATTGAAGCTCTTATTTGAGGTGACCGTGGGATTGGTTTCGTAACAAGTATTGGCCGGAGAGAAAACAAAAATAAAAGGTAAGAATCTTATTTTATATTACTACTTAAAATTTACTTCTTTTATAAGCTTTGGGAGCTGATTTATGGTGTCTAGGATATGGTTTGATGAAGCTGTAATATCTGTCAATGTGGCAATGACAGGACTTTGAATCTCAGTGTTTCTGAAAATGATCATGACTATTCATTTTCTGGTCAACAATATCGTGATAAGCCAAATGGAATCACTGCATTTTCTACTGGAAGCACTGAAGGAGGAACCATCACAAAAAAAAAAAAGTTACTTCAAAGGCTTCCAACTTAGTAAATTTGTAATGGACTTAGTTATTTATCATCAATTTTTTTTTCATTGTGTATAAATTCTGAACAAGAAGAGATTATAACTTGTCATTTTATCGTATTTTATCATTTATTGATTGATTGTAATTTTATAATATGATACATAGATTTGTGGTAATATACTTGTGTATGTATTAGGTTTTTTTTTTTTTTTTTTTTTTTTGTGTAAATTCTTTATCGATATATTTTAAAACTCATTAAAATGAAAGCTTTAAATATAGGCTCAAAGCCTCAAGGCCTATTTAGGATTTACTTTGAAGCCTTTTTAATGTCCTATATGTTAAATAGGCTTTTAAAAAGGCTTCCAGGCCAGGCCTATTGTAGGCTCAGGCTTAAGCCTAACAAAAAGCCTACATACAGGCTCAGGCCTAGGCCTAGACTTTAGATTTTCATAGCAGACCCAGGCCTACTTTTCTAAAGCCTGGCTCGGTCTGGCCTATTTTCACCCCTATCAGCATATAGATCTAGATAACGTTACATGTCAACTTCATGCCCATGCAATGCACCTCTGGTAGATAATATTATCTAATCTTTTTTGAAAATATTATTATTATTATCTATTCATGAACATTAAAATGATAAATGATGTCTCACCTAATTGTTATTTATTAATGGCAAAAACCTGATCTCGTTTTGATATCATTAACATTATTCACATTTTGAGAGAAATGAATAAATATTCTGATGCTTTTGTAAAAATATTTCACCAACAAACCAATTAGGGTGTTAGCGAACAAAGTTTTCGATATATACATATATATATATATATATATATATATATATATATATATATATATATATATACACACACACACACACACGGTTCGGTTTATGTGAGAACCACTACTTGAGTGTAAACCTGTGAACTCCTATATATGCACCGTTGAGATGTGAACTAGATTGGGTAGTCAAGATTTGAAGAGTGGTGCATTTGTGCAGTGGTGAAATGATGTATATTTACTAGGTCATCATTATAAACCAGAAAGTCGAGCAATATCAACGGTTAACAATACTACACAGGTTCACATGTTAATAGAGGTTCTCATTTGAACCTAATTATATATAGGGCCCGATTCATGTGGTCTAGTGATGTGGTGTTGTGTTGTTTGTTTGGTTGTTGTTTATGAACATGAATTATTTTTTGTTCATGAACGAGTTGGGATCGTGAACATGTGAATGTCTTTGGTTATTAAGGATTGATAAACGTGTTCAGGAACAACATGTTTATGAATGTGTTCGCGAGCGTTAACAAACACTAATGAACGTTTAACAAACGAACACGAACAGATTTTTAAAACCTTAACAAATGAATACGAACACTCCAAAAATCCTAACAAACGAACCTGCATTAGTTTATGTTCGGTTGGTCAACTGTCACACACCAATGAATAAAAAATATTTATTTATTCATTCTTCATAAAATTCCATTCTAATTTTTAGAATATTTCCTTCCGTGAAGAAAAATGGTTACTGTGAGTGCGAATCTGAGGTGATATCGTAGAGTACAGTGTCGGCCCCACCATACCATAAAAGTCGAGATTTTGCAGGGAAGAAGCCAATGATGCCACGAAACTTTCATACTCCTTAAATTTTGCTCAACCAACACTGCCAAGAAATTTTGCTCCTCCGCCATGAATCACTTCTTCAGGAAGTCATCGGCGGCGCTGACACGGTGGTTGTGGGGCGGTTTAAGCGGAGCTAGCCCGCCGCCGCGGGCGATGAACACTCCCCGGCGGCTGTGCCAGTTTTCCGGGGAGCTTGAAGCGGAGTCATGGCAATCCATGGAGGGGCTGCTAAAGTGCGCGGCGAATCATGCGCCTCTGACCCCCATAAGTTTCTTGGAAAGAGCCGCCATGGTTTACGCCGACAGAACCTCGGTTCTGTTTGGTTCTTCTGTTAGGTTTACCTGGGAGCAAACCCACCACAGATGTCTCAAACTCGCCTCTTCTCTCACTCAACTCGGCATTTCTCGTGGAGATGTGGTTAGCCCTTTATTCAAACAAGAAAAAAAAGTTTTCAATTTCTTGATTCAATTCTTTAATTTCCTTGTTGTTGGGTTGTTTCTGTAATTCGATTTCATTATTGTTCCTGTTTATTTCCGTACATCCCATGATTCTTCTTGTTCATTGCGAATGTTTTTGCTTTAATTTGGCATCAGAGTCAATGTGAGGGGCTTGCTGAGCATATAATATATAAACATAAATGTGCAATTCAACTATCAGCTTAGACTTTTAGTTGAGATGGCATATGCTTTAATTTTGAACAGTTACTCATGAAAAAAAAAGTGTAGTAGAGGATAAATTGATTGATTCTAGGAAAAATGTTATACTTTTATGAAAAATGTAATACTTATAAAATGATACTTAAATTTAAGGGTTCTACGAGAGTCTGGATTGTGAACCGTCTAGAGTGGACACATTGGTTCCGTGAGAGATTGTAGAGTGATATTAAAGATTGGGTTTGAGTATCTATTGGGATTTGTTTCATTTGGTTTGTCTAGCTTTTCAAAATAAGCTCTTATTTTAAGCTACTAGCTTATTTTGGGAACATGTCAAACCGAGCTTTAATTAGCACTGTATTTTTATGCAGGTGGCAACCCTGGCTCCAAATGTACCAGCAGTTCAAGAGCTTCATTTTGCAGTGCCAATGGCGGGGGCAGTTCTGTGTACGTTAAACGCTCGCCACGATTCGGCTATGGTGTCGACCCTTCTAAGACATTCAGAAGCCAAACTCCTTTTTGTGGACTATCAGCTTCTCCCAGTTGCTCAAGGAGCCCTTCATCTTCTTGCAGATGGCAAAGCGAAACCGCCTCTTCTGGTTGTGATCTCAGATTCTGAGAATGCCCCTCCAGTTTCCGATTCTAGCCCGCACCAATACGAGTACGAGGCTCTCCTGGAGAATGGGGATGGCGATTTTGGGATAAGGTGGCCGAGAACCGAATGGGATCCGATTAGTGTGAATTATACTTCTGGCACGACTTCCAGGCCGAAAGGAGTTGTGTATAATCATCGAGGTGCATACCTTAATACTATCGCTACGGCTTTTGTTCATCAGATGAGTTTCTTGCCTGTTTATCTTTGGACTGTTCCTATGTTCCATTGTAATGGATGGAACATGGTTTGGGGCATGGCTGCATTGGGTGGAACCAATGTATGCCTTAGGAGATTCGGTCCGAAAGACATATTCGACAACATTTCGCTTCATAAGGTCACGCACATGGGCGCTGCCCCGACCGTGTTGAACATGATTCTGAACTCGCCACAATGTGACCGAAAGCCGCTGCCTCATATGGTTAAGATAATGACGGGCGGTTCTCCCCCGCCTCCCCAAGTCCTCTGGAAGATGGAGCAGATGGGGTTCGGGCTGATTCACATCTATGGACTAACCGAGACCTATGGCCCGAGCACGTTTTGTCTATGGAGGCACGAATGGGATTCTTTGCCCCCGGAACAGCTTCAGAAGATGAAAGCGAGACAGGGAATCCCGCATTTCTGTCTGCAGGGTGTCGACGTGAGAGATCCCGTCACCGCAAAAAGTTTGCCGGCTGACGGTACGACAATGGGGGAAGTTATGCTCCGAGGGAACACCGTCATGAGCGGATATTTGAAAGACCGAAAGGCGACAGAAGAAGCGTTCAGGGATGGATGGTTCCGGAGCGGCGATTTGGCGGTAAAACATCCCGATGGGTACATCGAAGTCAAGGACCGGTCCAAGGACATCATAATATCCGGGGGCGAAAACATATGCACGGTCGAGGTCGAGAGAGTGCTGTATGATCACCCTGCGGTTCTCGAAGCAGCAGTCGTCGCGAGGCCGGATAACCATTGGGGACAGACACCTTGTGCATTTGTGAAGTTGAAGGAAGGGTTTGAGGTTAAATGTGAGGAGATTATCAGTTTCTGCAGGGACCATTTGCCACATTATATGGCACCTAGGACTGTTGTGTTTGAGGATTTGCCTAAGACTTCAACTGGGAAGATTCAGAAGTTTGTTTTGAGGGAGAAAGCTAAGGGGCTTGGCAGTCTTTTCTGAACAGTAAATTAAATTAATAACATTACCTCAGCATATACTGTAAAAAACATACCTAAACTGGATCCATATTTTGGTCATTGGATGGTGTTTGGTAAATAACTCTTAGCTGGTTGGGTTAGTGAGTTTAATTAGTTGATAACATAGCTGATTGTAGAAAGATGTCTGGTAAATTAACTATTATCTGATAACATAAGACGTGGAGCTGATGTCATCAACTTTCCAAGCACCCAATTCAACTCGATAATCATGAAATCTGGAAATTGCAAAAGTTAGCAGCCCTCAAAGAAAATGGGTGTTTTTTTTGGACAAAAATCTAAGCAAAACCACTGCTGTGGGGCCTATAAATACTCAGTTCTTCCAACCTTAAAACACCACACTAAAAACAGCAAAACAGAAGAAAAAGCTTAGTACTATAGAAGTGAAAAACATGAGGATTGTGGGAGTGGTTTTGGTCTATGGCCTGTCCCTCCTCACAGGGACGTTGGCGCAGGGTGTGGGATCCATTGTCACAAAGCCGTTGTTTGATCAGATGTTTAAACATCGTAACGACGCTAACTGCCCTGCCAATGGGGATACTGCTTCAAACAAGAACAAGGCAGCCCACCAGATTACTGTCAGCCAAGCCAACAATGGCCTTGCGCTCCCGACAAGAAGTACTATGGTCGTGGTCCTATCCAAATAGGCCAAAATGCCATTGTATTTAATGTCATTTAAATGGTTTTGTTGATAGAGGATAAAAAAATGGTCATATACATCACAATGATACTAGCTATAACTATAAGTACGTACCCTTCTACAATTGAGATCGTTTATATGTTCAAACATAACAATAAAAGGTATTAATTAGTCATGTACTAATCTAGCTAGCTATGAAATGCCAATTTCTTTACGAGTGGAGTACAAAGAGAAAAGTCAAATGGAGTTTATCACAATTGTCTTCAACTTCCCACTCAACCCGCAAATCATGATATCTAGAAATTGTGCAGTGTGGGAGCAACCTATATCGGTTTACCTTCTTGTGGTTTTTTGCAGATAGAAGTACAAGACAAACTTTACCCAAAGCACACATTCGAATCGTTATGACAGTAGATTTCCTTGGTTTTCTTGGCTAAGGTCATCAGTCCACTATAAGCAACCTACTCTTGTTTATCTCTTTGTAGTTTTTTTTTTTCCGGCTAGGGTCATAAGGGTGTTAGAGCTCACCTTTGAACAGATGTCACTGTTGAAAATTATGGAATTTCCGACCACCTGAAAGTGGTCTTAAATCAAGTCGAAAACAAAAAGTGGTCGGAAATAGCAATAAATATTTTTCCGGATACCAAAAGTGGTCGGAACAAGGCTTTCGACTTGATTTAACATCACTTTTAGGTGGTCGGAAATTTCATAATTTCCAGTAGTGTGATACAGGCTTTACTTGGCCTTCTTGATTTAAACAGGTCAATCATGGCAAATTATGATGTGGAATCGTGTCCACCTTGCAAGGTGGACGCAAGGTGGACACGGTTCTAAAACTGTTCATAATTATGAATATATAGTTTAAAAAGAGTTAATACCCAAAATAATCCCTCGATTATGTCGTAATTACCAATTTGGTCCTCGACTATCATTCTTACCCAATTAAATCCTCAGCTATATAATTTTTACCCAATTTAGTCCTTTTGTCAATTTGACTGTTTGTTGACTGTCAAAAGTGGAAATAAAGTTGTAATTTTACAAATTTTCTCCTTCCTCCTCATTTAGCAGCGCCAAACCATGTAGCAATAAGCTCCGGTTGGGTTCTAAACCTGTCAGTATCGAAGTAGTGGTTATGCATCGGATAGCCCATGAATTTGATTTCCAACGATTTTTTGACGATCGAAATCTGATCGGAGTGTATTGCTGCATGGTTTGGCGCTGCTAAATGGAGAGGAATGAGAAATCTTGTAAAATTATATTTTATCTCGACTTTTGACAGTCAACAAACAGTCAAATTAATACAGAGGACTAAATTGGGTAAGAATTGTATAGTTGAGGACTAAATTGGGTAAGAATTGTATAGTTGAGGACTTAATTGAGTAAAAGTTACATAGTTATTGGGTAAGAATGGTAGTTGAGGACCAAATTGGTAATTATGGCATAGTCGAGGGACCATTTTGGGTATTAACTCGTTTAAAAATTATAAACATATAGTTCTATAATTATGAACATAGAGTTGTGAACATAATTATGAACATATAGTTATGTAATTATGAATATAGAGATTCAATAATTGTGAATATGAAGTTCAAAAATTATGAATATATAGCTTTATAATTATGAACATATAATTCAGTAATTATGAACATAAAATTCTGTAATTGTGAATATAGAGTTCAATAATTACGAATATGAAGTTCATAAATTATGAATATATAGCTTTATAATTATGAATATATAATTTAGTAATTATAAAAATTTGTCAATCATGAACAATCTAAGTTGATTACCTTCTTGTGGTTCTTTGCCAACTATATTCGCAAGGCAAATCCATGTACTCAAAGCCCATATTCGAATAAGGATTGCCTTGACTTTATTTGTTGATTTGAGTTATGGACAACCTTTACTCCACCCAGATCACATGTGAAAAAGAAAAGTCTTACCAAAACCTTTGCTGTGGTGCCTATAAATACCAAGTTGTTCCGATCCAACCTTAAAACACCACATTAAACTCAACAAAACTACACAAAAAGCTTATTAGTACTATAGAGTCAGGTGAAAACATGAGGATTCTGGGATTGGTTTTGGTTTGTGCCATGTCCCTCCTCACTGTAGGGACGTTGGCGCAGGTCCAGTCCCTTATCTCAAAGCAAACGTTTGAACAGATGCTTAAGCATCGCAACGACGCAGCCTGCCCTGCCAAAGGCTTTTACACCTACGAAGCTTTCATTCAGGCTGCTAAGGCCGATCCCGCGTTTGGATCAACCGGCAACACTGACACACGTAAAAGAGAGATTGCTGCCTTTCTGGCTCAAACTTCTCATGAAACTACTGGTATATATAATTTTACGTTAATCGTAGGTCTTTTCCTCGTACATACTCTCCTTTAACTATGGTATATAATACCTACGATTGTTGATTGTAAATTAAGGTGGATGGCCAACTGCCCCTGATGGACCATATGCGTGGGGATACTGCTTCAAACAGGAAAAGGGCAACCCGGGAGCTTATTGCCAGCCAAGCCAACAGTGGCCTTGTGCTCCCGGCAAGAAGTACTATGGTCGTGGTCCTATCCAACTTTCCTAGTATGTATATATCATTCCATATATGAGCTGAGTTTGACAACATCAATATAATATAATATAATAGTGGTTCTCTTCGAGCTGAGGGGGTAACAGGGTGGTTTAAAGGTGGGCTCTGGGTGAATTACAAGGAGGTAAATTGCCTGTAAAGTAGTCGTTATATGAAGGTGGGCACGCCTTATAACATAGTTGGTAAAAACCACAATGTGTTAGATGATAATAATATGACTAACACAAACTAAAAGTAACGAGGAACCTGACTCGTTATCGCCCCTGAAGCTTCAGGACCTTCTGAATATCTCGTGGTAAACCTGCAGAAAGCATTAGCGTTTTGTCTACCATTTCTCTCCTGATCGAATATACTAATATTACACCAGAGTTGTGGGAGGACTATTTTGCTTAGAAGCCTACCTGCCATCAACATAGGATGATATTTAGTTAAGAGTTAAAACTTAACTAAATATCCTAAGTTGCCTAACAGATTAAGTTACTAATTGACTCAATCTCTTACTTGCACCAAAGCCACCCAATAATACAATATGTTATAATATATTATATTTAGGGAAAATACTTATACAATGAACTAAATTAAATCGCCTGTAGTCGCTACTGGATACTCTGGGTAAAGTTCGTCTTATGACCGAACCAGAACCATATTGAGTTACACCGTCTTATGTTATACATAGAACACCGACTCAAACTAAGAAGGTCAATAAACAGCTCCTATAAAGAATGAAACTTATAACTTTGTGATTGCCAATTCATGTGTTGTACCATGTTTTATTGCTTAATTAATATATAAAATGATGGTTTTACATACAGCAACTTCAACTATGGTCCAGCTGGGAAAGCCATAGGAGCGAATCTACTAAACAACCCTGATTTGGTGGCCAATAACGCGGTGATTTCCTTCAAGACCGCCCTCTGGTTCTGGATGACACCCCAGTCCCCTAAGCCATCATCCCACGACGTCATCACCGGCAGATGGACTCCATCGGCGGCAGACAAAGCCGCCGGCCGTGTCCCCGGCTACGGTGTGATCACCAACATCATCAACGGTGGGATTGAATGTGGAAAAGGGTCTATTACTGCCCAGCAACAGGATAGGATTGGATTCTACAAGAGATATTGTGACATTCTTAAAGTTGGGTATGGGAACAATCTTGATTGTGCTAACCAGAGGCCTTTTGCTTAGGATCCCAAATCTCAATTTCCTAATAATGTTACTAATAATGAACCTTTGAATAAGCAGGCTTGCTTCTAAGTTATAATATAATAATGTAATAATAATGTGTACGGTGTACCTGAGAATTCGGTGAAAATAATTCTCGAATAAATGTGTTAGTTTTATTTACATACTGCATAAATGAAAGGTTCCAGATTATTCTATCAGTACTAATTTAACTTTTTTAATATACTATAATGGTGGTCTCCCTTCTCCATAACTATAGTAATTAGCTTAGTTAAACCTATTGAAATGTGATGACTAATGACACTCATGAAAAAAAAAAATTAACAAATTTTAAGTTTAACTTGATGGTAAATTAAGAATTATATATCTTTTTTTTTTTTCTTAGCTTCTCATTGCAACACTTCGCTATCTTCTAGTATGACACTTGTTGGTAATTAATCATTATTCGTGTCTATATATGTGTGTATTAACATTAAATTGTCATTGTTATTCGCTTGTTTGGAATTTATTATACATTTTTAATAACATTAAAATTTTGTAGCTTTTATGAACATTTTTTTTAAACAATATTGTAGTTGCTATAAAATAATGTTATTTGATAATCTTGTGTACTAGAAATGTATAATTATCTTGTTAATTAAATTCATTGTGTTACATCAAAAGTATTCAATAAAAAATGACATATCCAAAAAGTTAAAGCGAGCACGACACTACTTGCACCATAACCCTACATGTATATAATAACAGTGCATTGTACGATTAAATTAATATTCAATATAAAAATAAAAATAAGTAATAATTAATATAATTTTTAAATATGAAAGTTAATTAATATAAAATAAAATTATTTATTTTGAATAAAATTGAACGGGTCATCATATTTCAATGGATTATTAATTCTATTCCAAGAACAGGTCATCATATTGCTCTAATTTCATAATATATGAACTGTATATAAATAAATTTATAAATTGAGTATGTTATTATTACCTTATGAAGTTAAGGTATTGAGTTTATGAACTCGTGGTGGTGTCTATGCAACTTTTAAACTTGTTGTATTGGCCTAGTAGTCTTATTCCATGTTTATTAGTACAATTATGTAGTTGCATTTTTTGAATTTGTGTTTGACCTACAATTAATTATGACTATGAAATAGTTAGTTTTAAAAGATATTTGGTTGAAAAATATCAAGTTTTTATTATGGGCTGAAGGTATTGATCTTTTGAATATGTAATTAACAAATTATATATCTACCGTGTCAAAGTTGTATCTAAATATACGGAAAAAAAAAACAACGCCACTAAAAACACCTCTTTTGAAAATTATGAAACAATGTATAGGACTAATGTCTACCTTTTTGGTCTACGATACTGCTATACTTGTTGCAATATATAAAACAATTTAAAAGTTCAAAGGATCAAGCATGGAGGTGCTTTAATTTCTCTACTACAAATAACCTTTTTGGTTTAAGATATAACCCCGTCCGGCCGGTATACTTAATACTTGTTACGATATATAAAACAATTCAAAAGTTCAAATGATCGAGCATTGAGGTGCTTTCTCTACTATAAATAGAGGTCGATCAGATCAAACACTTACCACTATGCAAAAAGTTATAGTCAATAATAAAGACACAATTTTATCTTTTTATATTTGCGTAGCAGTCATTGCCTGTATCAATAGCAGGATGTTGGATTCGACTCTCTAATCCTGAGATTCTAAGGCAATTTATTGTAAATATTTGAGTATGAAGTTAAGTATTCAAGTTTTAAATTGCCAAGGGGATAATAGAGCCGTGTTTTTAAGTATTCAAATTCAAAGTCTATCAGCAAAGGGTCAGAAGATTTCTAGATTGATATACCTATAATAGGTTAAACCATATAAGTTACTTTTTACTAAAGTGTTAATTTATTATAAGTTTGAAATTTCTTGTATATTCGAACTTTCATACCAATCAGATCGAATTAGAGGCATACTTGGTGGAACATTTTAAATACTTACTCAAAACTATTGAAAAGTACTTTTTTACCCGGTCCTTTCCAAATACAATATGAGTACGCTTACACGGGCTCTTAATCTCTACTCCATCACGTACTATTATTTCATAACGTGACAAACATTGATAAGTCTTTATTTTATGAGTCCAAAAAAAAAATATCTATATCAAAGATTTAGGTAAAAGAATAATAGGTAAGAGTCGAATTTAAGAGTTAAGTAGTATTTTCCATACAATACATAACTTTAATATAATGTGGATATCATCACTCTTAGGCCTTAGTTAGCTACCAACGAGCTTGTCCATTACTGATTTATTTCTTTATCATCCCCTATTATTTATGTTGTACATAAACAAAAAATGAAAAAAAAAAATAATAAAAGAAACACTTTAATTTTATTTTATTTTTTTAAATTAAAAGGTTGTTTGGTACTTTCCCATCAATTAAATTCTCAAAGAAATTTCTTAAGAATATGTTTGATGGGAATAATTTTACAGGGAAAAATAATTAACATGTTTGGTGTTACCATAGAAACATAACAATTAAATTACATGCCAAGCACCTTGTACTTAGATAACATGAGAGGTCATGAGATCGAACCTCAGCGGAGGCGGTGTTAACTATTTGTGTGCTTCAACAGGTTGAGAAAGTACGTGTTAACTATTTGTGTGCTTCAACAGGTTGAGAAAGTACGTATGAACAGATACTCCAAGATATATATATATATATATATATGGGGTTTATTTTCATTGATATCATGAAATGTGATTCTCATTAGGCCGAACTTTCCTAAATTAAATATTACACCAAATGTGTGAATAATTTTCTCACCTTTTAAATTCTCAACAAAATTTCAGACTTTTCTTGCTACCAAACACTCTCTGTACGAATTTCATTTGATCTATATTATCTATAACAATCTGAAAAATAGGCATTCGTGATGGCCAATAGAAACGGAAAGCTTTTTAGGCAGGGAGTGGGAGTGATTGAAACTTTGAGATGCCGCGTCTAGACGTAAATTGTTGATGGTGACGATTCACCTAATCAGCCCGCCACCTTTTTGTTTTTTGGTTACTTGGTTACGTTCCATCATTTATTCTTCTTATTTCGTTAATGTATAAGGATTAAATCTTCATCTCAAAAGTTATAATTAGTAATAAATATATAATTTGTTTAATATTTATGTAACAATTAGCGTTGTCTTTCGATTGTAGATGCTAAACTCAGCCTTCAAGCTGGCGTTCAATAATCCTCGCACTAACAGTCCCAATTGCGAAGCATGCTTTGACTTGCTCTACTATGTACTAATTTTCAAATCAAACACTTACCACTACTCTAAAAGATAGAGGTAGCAGCAAATTAAAGACACAATTTTATTTCTTTATACTTGTATAGTAGTTTGGGCCACCTTTCCAAGGAGCTACCGAACAAATATAGTCAATAAGTATGAAATGATATCAATAATAAATTTTATGCGAGAAAAATAAGTTTTTTTATTTCTTTTGGATAATGGAAAAACTGAAACTAGTACTCAAATGTGTACACCTGATAAATCATACTCCTTGTAATAGCTTGCAAACCACATCAGAGAGGTAAACCGGACTAGTAAAATCCACACAAAAGCTGGGCCCATCAAATATAATCAATTAATATGAAGTGATATACTGATGCTATCAATACTTAACTCTATGTGAGAAAAATAAGGTTTTATATTTTATAACCTGAGAATATGAAGCATTTCAAAGTGCGTGTGCAGAAAATTCAAAGTCTGTACTGAAATCAATCTTGAAACCTAAGGTGAAAATTGCACTTTGTCATCAATCAATGGTCCTGCGGTCAAGCCAAACTGGAACACGTAGCATCAACATAGCGTGTAATGTTATCTTCAATAAGAAAATTTCCATAGCTTAGCAGCCATCAGAGATAATGATCCGTTTGGCTTGTGGAAAAGTCTGCAAAACCTCTGCCATGGCGCCTATAAATACGTAGCAGCTCCAACCTTAAACTCACCACATTATCATAGAAGTAGTGAAAAAGTAAACATGATGGGGATAAAGATGATTCTGGGATTGGGTATGGTTTGTGCCGCCTTGTCTCTCCTGACAGGGACGATAATGGCGCAGGGTGTGGGATCCATTGTGACAAAGCCGTTGTTTGAGCAGATGCTTAAGCATCGTAACGACGCTAACTGTGCCACTGGGTTTTACACCTACGAAGCTTTCATTCAGGCGGCTAACTCCTTCGGCGCTTTTGGGACCGCCGGCGACGTTGATACTCGTAAGAGAGAGATTGCTGCCTTTTTGGCTCAAACTTCTCACGAGACTACTGGTAATCATTTTTTATACCACATCAATCTTTTCTTTTGTCAAGGTGTACTGAGCAGCTCTAACTGTATGAGGCACTTTAAGTCCGTATCAGACTAATCCCAATTAAGAGTCAAATGCTGGCCAGATTGGTTTTTTCATACAAGAGAGGAGGGTTCGAACTCTCAACCACTCTCGACCTCTCTTAAGGGACAAGAGTGTACGGCCACTCACGCCAACCAAGCTGGTTATCAATCTTTTTTCTTTGATTTATGAAAAATTCAAAATCCCTACTTGAATATATGGCATGGGTGAAACCCGTCTTGTGACTTAGTAAAGAATTACAAAGAGATAAATAGGCCTTGCTAATAACTGGATGGCTGACTTACTTAGAAAGTCAATAAATCGTTCCAATTGAGAATTGAAGGTGCACTTTAGGTGAAGTTCGTATTGTGATCGTAGCTTGCAAAAGACCACAATAATGCAAAATCAACTTAGGTTACCAATAACTAATCGATTCAAATCGAAAAAATCAATAAACTTGCTCCCACACTGAGCCAAGCTAAGGGTATGCTTTTGGTGAAACCATCTTATAACTCTAATCAGCAAAGAACCGAAATAAACCACCATAAGTTGTCCATAAATGCTCAAACTGAAAAAACCAGAAAAAACCAATAAAATGGTCCAGATACTTGTCATTATATTTGTATTAATTTTTTTTTTTTGAAAGTTACTGGCTCTATTACATTGTAGTATCTGTTCATATACTTTCTCAACCTACTGAAACACAAAGAACCAATAACGCCTCCACTGAGGCTCGAACTCGGAAGTCCAACCCGGGTACCATTGGACCACATAGTCCTGGTTATATTTCTATTAATTAGTTTCATGCATATGTATATATAAGAAATTATATTATTAGTTACTTTATTTTTGTGTATGAAGGTGGATGGGCAACTGCACCAGATGGACCATATGCATGGGGATATTGCTTCAAGCAAGAACAAGGCAACCCACCAGATTACTGTCAGGCAAGTCAAGAGTGGCCTTGTGCTCCCGGCAAGAAGTACTTTGGTCGTGGTCCTATCCAAATTTCCTAGTAAGTGTCTTGTCTTGTCTTGTCCCGAATAAACCACTCAAAACAAAACTAGACTGAATTAGTTTCGTCTCACAAAAAACTTATAAAATGATATTTTGCAGCAACTTCAACTATGGTCCAGCCGGGAAAGCCATAGGAGCGGATCTACTAAACAACCCCGATTTGGTGGCTACCGACCCGGTGATATCCTTCAAGACCGCCTTCTGGTTCTGGATGACACCCCAGTCTCCCAAGCCGTCGGCCCACGCCGTCATGACCGGCGGATGGACTCCGTCGGCGGCAGACACCGCCGCCGGCCGCGTCCCCGGCTATGGTGTGGTCACCAACATTATCAACGGCGGGATTGAATGCGGGAAGGGATCTAACCCGCAAATGGAGGATAGGATTGGGTTTTACAAGAGATATTGTGACATTCTTGGAGTTGGATATGGCAATAATTTGGACTGCGCCAACCAAAGGCCTTTTGGCTCCTAAATCATCATATAAGAATATATAGCGGGTGCGGACTTTCCCGTATATTCACCACTATATATCGTTCCCGTATATCAAAGAATAAGCTTAGAATAATGTACGTCCAAAGTATGTTGGCCATGTTTAATAATGTATACTCATGATCGAATAATTCATCATATTCGACTGAATAATATAACTCAGTTTATATTTATATTGCTTGTGTTGGGCAACGATAGGTTTGTGTCGTTTTAAGTCGCACTAGTTCATGCTATTATGCTCTTGTGTTGCACCTAGCTACACCTCCATTCTAAGTACTCACATAAAAAGTTGAAAATGTTTTAATATTTAACTTGATCTATAGAAACAAACAATTAATTGTGAAATCTAATTATCAACATTGTAATTTAAATTAGATTATTGCCCCATTGTTTCTACGTGGTCACAGTTGGATTCCCCACTCTTAATCACGCAGCAGTACTCCTTGGGGTGATTGCCAAAAAGTTGGATAAATGTCAGAAGTGGGATTTGAACCCACGCCCTCTTACGAGGACCAGAACTTGAGTCTGGCGCCTTAGACCACTCGGCCATCCTGACCTTTGCGTTTTTCTTGTTGAAATTTCGTATTTAATAATAGTATAATAACATTAAATGAAATTAGAAAAAAAAAAAATTATGTAGCTTCATTCTCAAATTTCAATCTCGAGACGTAAAATGTAAGTGTATGCGTTGATATAAGTTGCCGTAAAATTCATAAATATATGGATTGAATTTAATATAAATTCCCAGTTAAATTGATCGAATAGTTGATTTGATAACCATACAAGATTCCAAATTTATTTAACTTTAACATATATAAACAGTCTATTAGCCTTCTTGATTTAAGTTAATGATTATTAACTATAATTTAAACTAGTCTATCTCCTTATATGTGTATTCAAATAACGATTGTGAACTTTCTCTTAGATATACATCACTATAAATAATTTTTTAAAAAAAATGAATATCTTATTCTCTACACATATATATTAGCTAGGTAAATGTATGTGTTTCAAGGTTCAACGTATTCAACCATAAACACATATCCAAAATATTCTTTTGCCTTCTGATCTCTGAGCTCTTTCACCCTGCAGTTAATTAAGTCCAATGGTTTTGTCACCATACATAAGAATGATAAGATCTGAAGAATCAGCATGTGATGTTTCATCAGCCTGCAACTGTACCAGCAGTGTGCCCACAAAGTTCAATTCATAATATAAATTCTTTAAAAAAAAAAAAAGACAGAATAAAGAAGAATATAATCATATGCTTCCATGTCCCGTGAAATAAAGTGTTTAATTTCTTTGATTTAAGGGAAAGTTCACCACTATGTGGTCTAATAGTATCCAGGTTGGACTTCCATTTGGAAGATTATGAGTTCAAATCTCAGTGGAGGCGTTATTGGTTCTTTGTGTTTCAGTAGGTTGAGAAAGTATATGAACACATATATTTTAGGTGAAACTTGTCTTGTAACCTTAGTCGGAAAATGACCATTAATAAATAAACCAGTTTAGGTTTTCCATAACTAACCGACTCAAACCGAGAAGGTCAATAGATAACTCTCATAAAAAATTAAATTTGGAACTTGTGGTACCAAACCAACTATCCAGCCAACTTGTTGGTTAGGGTTACCTATAGCTAGTTGCCTTTTGATTTTCTTTGTTTGAACCGGTAAATTATATGTAATCTAAGTTGGTTTACCTTCTCGTGATCTTTTATAGACAAGGACTACAAAATGACTTTCATTCGTAATATGCTTTTAGGTAAAGACTTTTTCAGTCAAGAATTGTAGACTTTCTATAAATCAAAATGTTTTTCCGAAATACTAAATTAAAGTTTATGGTACATATGTAATGTACGTGTTGGGATGTAGTTTCATGTAGAGACAAGAAGTCGGCCACCCCACAGGCCACAGTATTATTCCTCGATCATTATCCCTAATTGTTTGGCACTGTTTAATGGTCCATGCATGCATTAATCCCATAACATTCAACAGACAAAACACTGCTAAGTGTACTAAAATGAGGAGTTTGGATTTTGTTGAGGAATCAAATTAATTAATATCACTATTGGTGTTTTTTTTTTTAAAATAAAAAATAAAAAATTATTATATAATATACTATACATTAGTAGGCCGACAAAATAGTCCTTTGAACAAAATAAATGCAATCTGGTAATTAATCTAAAAATATATTATTTTTAGAGTTTTGTATTACGGAATATATTTTAACTTGTTTTCACAAATCTGGTAATTAATCTAAAAATCAAGTGTTTCCTGGGTAACAGTTGAATCATATAATTAGCTAATGTCAACAACAAGATTTGAGTAACGAGAAAAATTCACAATCATTAATTAAAGATATATATTAAGTAAATTTCGTTCATGTATAATAGCTTTACAATTCGTAATATGTATGTCAGTATGTAATGTGTTGGGATGTAGTTTCATGTGCAGACAAGAATTGGTCGGCAACCCCCCACAGTACTCCTCACTAATTGTCGAATTATTATTATTATTATTATTATTATTATTATTATTATTATTATTTGATTTTAAAAAATGAAAATTAACACGCGAATAATTAATTAAGATGATATGATGTACGAATGTTGAATTGCCTCCATTGCAGAAATGAATTGAATGAAGAATTTTCCCTAAGCAAAAGCATTGTAATGAAAGTCAGGCAGCTTTGATTTACGAGGAACTTTATAGTTATTCTCTTAGAGCATCTTTATCAGTTGGGGTTATTAGGAGGAGAATGTAAGAGTGAGTAGGAAAGAGAATAATGTGGGAGGGGAGGGAAAAAAAAAATCAAAACTGATTTTATTAAAAAAAATATATAAAAAATAAGCATGTCATTTCTCTATTGGTTCTTTATCCTTCATCATTAATTATTTTTCTTGGGCAGAGTAATATCCCAAACATTTGCAGATGCTCCCCACCCCTTCTCTCTCTTGATTCTCTCTCTGCCACCATGGCATTTTGGCCTCAAAAGTAGTGAATTCTCCCCTATTTCTCCTCTGATGTAGATGCTCTTAGAGTGTTTTGGAGTGAAATTTTTCTTGTAATTTTAATCATTAAATTAAAAATTGAGTAAATAATAAATTTAAGTTGTTTATAAATGATTGTTTCAAATAAAAAAAATTAATAGATCATTTTTATAAAAAGTTAAATTTAAAATATATTTTTTTATAAGTTAATTATATGACCAATTTAATTAAAAATTACACTATCGAAAGACAGAAGCGGAGAATGCAATCCCCATTATATGGTGTGTGGGTGCAGATATAACATTTGCATTAGAGCATCTCCGATAAGGAAATTTTAGAAGGTTTTTATAAGTGATAATGCACATGTGGATGAGCTCAGAGAGAAAGACAAGAGAGAATAAATTGAGTTTTTACATGAGACATTGTTTTTTGTCATCAGATTTAGTGGGCCCCACCACAAAATAAAAATAAAAATTGTCTTCTAATGCGTGTGAGGCGCACTAAAAACTCACAAAAGATCTCAATAAATGATGATGTGTTATAAATAGTAATGATTGTGGACATTATTATGTAACGGTTTCCTTTATGTCTCCATTATTGTATTCCGTTACACTTGTTATTATATATATGTCATTCTAATGTAATGATCATAGGTGTGGTATAAAGGAATAAGAAACCCTCTATTTTGTCTCTACTCTTCTTCTTGTTCTTACTGTTCTTCACGAGCTAAAGGCCTGCAAACAAACTTGCAATACAACACGTTATCAGCACGCTCAATCCAGGTGAACGGTAACTTTTATGAGTTTTTTATGCCTTAACATTTTCCGGATGCCTCAAAATCATATGTGTTTATGCTTTATGCATTTTTGAATTTATGAAAACTTGATCATATGATTATATATTTTTGATAATATACTTCTGCATCCGTAAGTATATACTTACTGTGAATATGTATATCATGAATGAATAAGTTTACTGTGCAAATACATATATTTCGTAGCAATGAACCAAAAATATTGATGTTGATGAATATTTGATGAGGAACCAAAATTTTTTGGCCTATGCTTATATGTGACTTCATATCAAATATGCGTACAATTTTTCTTGCAATATCTAAAATTCTAGTTGCTAGATCTACTAAGTCTGGAATTTTGCATATGATATATATTTTTTTTCCGGAAAATTTGTATTGCTTTCAATATATACACTATTTTTTACATACTGGCATGCAAAATATGATTGATTAATTATTTTTGGTATGATAATTCGCTTAGTACAATGAGAAATTGTTTAGAATGAGTTTTTTTCATACCTTTCTTCCCCCTCCATCGCCGTCGCGCCTGTCATCTGAGCCACGTCGGAGGTGTTGCAGCGGCGGCATGGGGCGGCTATTTTTTTGCGGCGGCTGTCCAGCAGTCCAGCCCCTGTTTTTAGAAGTGATCGGAGAGGGACAAAAATAGATCCCGTTTTTTTTCGGCCGATCATCCCCCATTTTTTTCTGATCTGCACCATCATCGCATGGTGGGCTGTGAGGATGGCCCTATGGGTGGCCGCGGTAGAGGCGAGCGGCGGCTATTACGAAGATCGTGGCCGCGTTACTGACGACCGGTGGTGGTCTGCGGCAAGGGCGGCGATCAATAATGGCGGTTGGCGGAGGTCTGATCTCTTCGTTTTATCGAAACCGTTTGCGTAAATACAAGCCCCATAACGCCAGAAGCGTTATTAATTTCGCGTTGTTTACGGATGATTTTTGCTTTTATTCCTAAAAAAAAAAAAAAAAAAAAAAAAAAAAACAACGCCAGAAGCGTTAATTCCTACTTAGGATTTGGATTGGACCACCTTTAAAATAAATGGACCATCTTTATTTTTGAACCATTCTTACATAAAAATCCTAAGCCCCATATTTTTTTATAAAATATGTTTTTTCCTTGGTCCTCATTAAAACTATTTCCGGTAGAAAATAGTTGCTCTTGAAAAAAGAGAATTCACTGAGCTCGCACTCAATGGAAGAAATTTCTTTATTTGGGTGTTTGATGTCGGAATATATCTTGCATCTATAAAACTGT